GGTCAGCTCTTTGATGTACAGGGATTGAGATGTGATGAGGTCTGTTCAAAGTGAGTACAAAGTAGTGTTAACATGACCAAACAGTAGCTGACACCACATGACCATCTACACAGTGTCAGGTACTGGTTTGAATCCCACTCTGATAGACTCAGAGATGACTGTCTGTCTCTCTGTCCGTCTGAGTGATCAGTTGATCACACTCACCTGTGTCCTGTGTGCTGCTTGTCTCGTTTGGACTCATTGGTTTCACCTGGTGTTGACACCTGTGCAACAGCCAGGGCTTTTGGTTGGTTGTTTGTTTTTGTGTAGTAAAATACTATATATCTGGCAAAGGTTGATGTCTGACCGAAAACATTTTTAACTTTATATTCTTATACAGCATGTTTTTTTATATTAATGGAAATAAACCTGAGTGTAAATAGAAAAAAAATCAAGAACGCCGTTTTCCTAACTTATGTTTCACATTTAACTGAAAATTGTCAAATTTATTTCCTACATTGTGTCAACTCTACTTTTTCTGTGCATTTATAACAAGGTGCTGTTTTTGTTTCATATGAACCGTTTAATCTGCTCCTCAGTGAAATTATCTAATACCACTCAAGTCAAATGTGATTTGTCATTTTGTTACGTGAGGGTGTGGATTTAAAAATGTGTGATGGAAACTGTTTCACTCCTGCTGTCATCCTCTTAAATGTCATTTTAGAGCTTGTTGATTTTTCTTTTTTTTTTTTTTAAACATGGTTGAATAACTGCCCTGTTTTTGTTTTTCCACCCTGTGGTGCAGGTCCGGTGACAAAGCTGCAGCAGAGAACTCCTCGCCGGCGGGGCCACCAGCCCAAGCTGCTCAATAGCCCCGAGGACAGCCTTTACTACAACCAGATAAACGTGAGTTCAAAGTGCCGATAAAGGCCTTTGTCTGACTTTGGTTCCAGATGATAATACAATTACGGCTACCTGTGCCAGAGCCTGGAGCCCCACCCCCACGCTCATCCTCTGCCTCTTGTCTTGAACATGCGCTTATGCTCTTTATCTGTTGCTTTCATGTCAGGATGTCTGCCTTCACGGTGAATAATTGATGTGGTTTATCAAAGCTGAGCAAGATGCATGCTTCATCAGACTCACTTGAGCCCTTTGATCAGAAAAAAAAATTATGCTGTGACTTCTGATATTATCAGCATCTGCTCGCATTCAACACAAAATCACTTTGAATTAAAAATTAATGACTCCCTGCTCGTCTTTTTTGACTGTGTGCTCTCGGCCCTTTCCTCAGAGAACTCTGGATTACCAGGGGAGCAAGAGGAAGCCCAGAAAACTTGGGTAAATAACTGCTTTCCTACTTACAGCAACTCTAAACAGAGCAGGCCCTTTGTGGAATAGCAGAGTCTGGATGTGAGTTTGTTTTCTTTTAATGGAAATGGAGAGAGAAAAAACGGGCTTCTTTATGAGGAGCTGCTCAGACACGGGGTGTGATGTGAAGATTAGTGTTACCTTTTGTTTAAAAAATCCAAGTCATCACTTATTTATTTGTTTTTTTATTCTTCTGTCACTGTTTTTTAAAAAAAATAACTGCTGCACTTTCATTACCCAGTTTAATGAGAGTTACAAATAGTAACAATGATTTATTGTAAAAATAAAATCTTTCAATGATGAAATTCACTGCATGTGTGACATAAAAAAAAATCTTTCAATGGTGACATTCACTGAACAGACATGCAGACATGCTGCCACGGGAGGCACCATTGAGTCATCAATGTGGTAATTCTATTTGTTGATATAACTGTAAAAAAAAAAAAAAAAAAACTAAACCAAAGGTTCCCAACTTATGGGTTGGCAACCACAGCTGGGTCATGGGTTATTTAGTAATGGGCTGAACAGACTTGAGCCGGGATCACGGAAACTAATTTTGTTCATCCCATGTCTAACATGTGTTGCAATGACAATAAAGAACCTTAAGTCCTTGAGAGAATAACTCCTGTTTTGGTTTTTCTTTTGTTTTTTATTTACTTTTGTTTGTATTAGTATCATTTTCATCTGTTTTTGTCTTTGCAATATAACTTACAATGTAGTGCATAATCTAAAATATTTAGATTACATTTGTAAAATTAAGTGTTGAATTATTGCATTTTGTTATGGCCTTGACCTACCCTCACTTGGACACACCTGTCACTGCACTGAAAAATTGTTGAACTCAGAATCCCAGAACTGTATTTTAGGAACTTTCAGATCACTTTTTTCCTCTTTCTTTCCATCACAGGCAAATCAAAGTACTGGACGGTGAAGACGAGTACTACAAATTACTGTCAGCGGTGGACTCGATTCCTGAGGAGGACTACACGTCTGCCACCTCCTCGGCTCTTTCTACTGGGCCTCCTGTCAGTCAGGGCTGAACCTTCCAACCATGTCAACCGGTAAGACAGACGCAGCAGACAGACACTCCAGAGAACATCCTCAGTGATGGCTGTGCAGCAGCAGAAATACTGCTGTGACCTGCACAGACAATAGAATATGATCAGGGAAGTATGATGGAAATTAACACCTGTATATATTAAATGTTAGGGATACTGTGGTTCATACACGAGAAACAGCTCAGAACTTGTTGTTTTATTAATAACATGTCATCATGACATCCATCTTTGAACTTTCTGACTTGTCCTTTAACTTGGGTGATTAGTTAATTCTTGCCTAAAAGTAAGATATATGTTAAACAATAACTACTGTAAAAATGCTGCAGTGTGCTCTCATCAGTACACACTGACTGGATTGATTGCTTTTGTCTTGATGGACAGTTTCAGTTTTATTTTCAGACATGAAGCCGTTTGTGTCCTACAGAGCTGCAGTCAGATCCTCCTGTAAGACACAGTCTCACCCACAGCGGAGCTGCCTGTAGTCTGAGGGTCTTTGTACTGTCCAGCTGTAGAATCACACTCAGCCAGGCCACACTTTGAATTTCACCCTAAACACAGACGTTTCCTTTTAAGATGTGAAGTGTCGGAAATGCACAGCAGGCTGGTTGATTTGTAGAGGTTTTTTTTTTTTCTTCTTCTTCTTTCAATTTGCATATCATTTACTGCATCTCCCGTTGTTGACACCGGAGGGTCTTAGAGGAGATTTTGATCTTAATAGGAAGAGTAGGGTGGTACGACTGAAGATCTCATCATCTTTACAGTCAGCAGGGAGAACATTAGATCTCTGCATGGACAGACCAGCCTCACTAACGTTAGGTCCAGTTCACAGGAGTCCTGGCAGATGTGACCAATGTCAGTCCATTTCTAAATCCCTCTGCTCAGAGCATTGGTGGTTGGACTCGAAAGTCAAGTTTAAAGACTGACTCATTGTTGAATCATCAATGATCATCTATTGTCAACACTCAGTACTAATGTAGCTCAGTGCAGTTCCAGCCATGTCAAATATTGTAAGGATTGAAGATAAAAATGAAATAAAATCCCTTTAGAAACTATAACAAATGTGTTGCACATAAAAAAGCTGTCAATAAAGTAGATATTCCAAAGTCACTGTACTTTTGCTTTGTTGTTCCACCGCTGCTGGAGCGAGGCTGTGTAAAGATGTAACACATTTACACTCAGTGTTGGGTGGAATGAAGCAGACTGGATTGAAATCAGCTGTTTCCACAGTATAAATAACTCTAAGAGTGAAACAAGCAGCCTCCTCTGGGTTCAGTGTCACCGTGAGTCCCGAGCCGCCGAGCTGCCACCTCCGGCCCTGCAGCCACAGATCCCACAGTCATTATTGAAATCCTGCTTGTGCTTAAACTCCGTCCCTGTGAAAGCTGCTTCCTCGGTCTGAAATAGGTCAGCGCCGCTCCCTGTAGTGCGTCTTAAAAGTACACTGAATCAATTAAGTGTGATCATGCTGCCTTGATTATTTTGGCCCCGTTGTAGCACAGAGAGGAATTTCAAACAGCTTTGCTCAGTTTGAATAACAAGGTTGGACTGCGGTGACAAATGTTGCCAGAGTGGGTGTTTCTTTCCCCAGTTTTTTTTTTTTCCCCTCCTCTTTGCCAAATGAACTCCCTGGCTGATTGCCTGCTTTAGCATATGAGTGGAGGTGAGCGGAGGTGTGTGCGTAATTACCTCGGTGAGCTGATTATGTGTTACAAAAGAGATATTCTCCAAAAAAACTCTGCTGTCACACTGGTGATACATGATTCTGATCTTAAAGAATCCACGTTTCTGTGTTTTCCTGGAGGTTTGAAAAACGTTTGAAAAAGATAAAAAGCTTCTTTTCACAGAGCGACACCTGTGTTTTTTTCCTCAGTGCGTCTTGATAAATGCAGCGCCGTCGCGTTTTCTCCTCATTAAATCTGACAACATCTGGTGCGAGTGCAAGTGGGTCTCCTTTAATGTGGCTAATGCTACCGCTGGTGTTATTCTTGCCATTTTGGCTGTTTACTCCACGTGCTGGACTTTCAAAGGAGGCGAGTTGTGTGGAGGAAAAAAAAAAGTTTTAAACCAACCTCTATGAAACTCTCTGCAGCCTTAACAAATGATGAAAAGCTTTTATTTTCTAAAGAAGTATGCTTACCTTTTCACCCAGTAGTGTTGTCTGACTTCAAAGGGAGAGCGCACGATTAGGCCCCAACATTGTCCTGTTTCTATATCCCCATGAGTTCAAAGAGACAGTTTGAATACAGCATTTCAGGTGCAGCTTTTTACAGATACTATTTTAATGCAGTTTATGTGCTTTGGATATCCAGATGTGCCAGGTTTCCACCTCAGCCCAGGATCTCACTGTGTGATTGCCTGCAGTCAGTTTTGCATAACTTTAGAATGGAGAAAAAAAAGAAAGCTTCAGTGTCTGGTTGGTGTAGTAGTTCCTGCCTGCAACACATAAAACGTTGGTTCAATTCCACTTTGTCTCAGGATGTTTTGTCAGGACGGGCATCAAGCATAGAAACTGTACCAAACTACTGTGTGGACTGCAGATGTGCTGAGGTCCAGTAGAGTAGAAGGCCAGGACTGACTCCTCTCTCTCTGGCTCTCCAGCCTGAAGAACTACTTGTGGTTTCATAGTTATCACACTTCCCTAACACATCTGCCTTACACACAGAAGGTCCTGGGTTTAAGCCCCAGAGGAACTACTTACTAAATAGCGCCTCCTGTGACAGCCTGTGTGTGTTGCAGAGACTGTGAATTTCCCTGTGTGTTAAAAATAAGGGAGTTCAATTTTATTAGTCCAAAAATAAACAGACATTGACATTGGTCACATGTGAGACTCAGAGGGTCCTCCAAAGAAATCCAGGGTTACCAAATGATGGCGTTAGCGAAGAAGCTGGTCAGGCTGTTGGAGGCCGAGTTTAGAGGCGCAGGGAGCAGAGAAAAGAATTCTGTTGAGCAGATACATCAAAGGTCTCTTTAATGACAAGGAATTCCATTAGGGTTACAGTGGCTTTTGTTTTGGGCTTCCTCACACCTGCTGTTTGTTCAGGTTCCCCCCCGTGCTCTGTTTTGTTGTCTCACATTAGCATGAATATAAAATGCATGCATGTATTAGGGGATGGCAGTTTTGTTTCCCCATGGCGCTTAATCTTAGATGTTTTGGTCAAAATTACAGCTTCCTTTTCATTTGCGACCAGTTTCCTCCCCTCCGTAAAGCAGCTACGGGCTGCCGTGGAACAATAGCAGCAGTATGGAAACGCTGTTATCCTGCACACCATGAAATTTATGGGCTTAAAAGTTTTTCTTGGTGCCTCCGGTACTGGAATGGGATTTGACAAATCAGACCGTGAAATTGTGATTAGCCTCTCTCAGTTTGTAGATGGACTGGGGCAGTAGCACACTTGGCATGGCCGAAGGTGTAACCTGTTTAGTTTAGCTGCGGCGCCGCTCTCCCAGATGGTGAGACCAGCTGCCGCCCAATAAATGCTGGGCAGATAACAGTGTGAGAGAATTAGCACGGCCTTGTTTCAGAGCAGAAAGATTGTCTTTTTGCCACTGCCAGGAGGAGCAGGAACAGATCACCTGGTGTTCCACCGAACCATCCTTTGATTTAGGTCAGAGTGAAAGTCTCAGTGGTTCAACCAGAGACACAGGAAATGGACCAGGGTGTCTTTGAGACTCTAGAGTCTGTAATAGACTCAAAGTCAGAAAACATTTTTCCTCAGATTCTTTTGTCTCCTAGTCGAGATGCTTTGGCAAAAACAAACTGGATTTGAAAATAATTTATAACAATTATATATTAGATTAGATTGAACTGTTGATCCCACAGCAGGGAAATAGTTTAAATGCAGAACGCTTCATGAATTAGTTGTGCCATGTTATTGTATGTCACATCTAACATGACTTTAGTCTTTGCATTTTCAACATTTATAGACACTTGGAGACCAGGAGCTAATGACTGAGGTTATATGACTGGACTACATTGCACAGAGCTCCACTGTTAAGAGGAGCTGTACTCTTGGCAATGGTTTTAGTTGTTGAATGTTGTCCATATTGAAACATTAACAACTTGTTAAGGGGGCAGGGGGCGGGGGGGTGTTGAGTGTGAACCTGGTAGTTTTACACATCACCTTCAGTTAGGTGCAGTACAGGACTAAACCTGTAGTTGAAGGTACTTTGGCAAGAAATGTACAAATTTAGACTGAAACATTGTTGTTTTCGCTACGACCTCAGGTCTTTTGCAGTTCATATGTCTAAAGCCCTCATGTTTTCATCCATGTATATTTAGTGCCAGTGAACAACACTTAAAAAAAAATAAAATAAAACTGCATTTTGGCATTTAAAAAGGTGCAAGCATTAATTACTGTAACACTGATTTGACTTAAAATGTTGTATATATTTAATATATTTAAAGCTCTTTACCTTTGTGTGATCACCATTCACACATTTTCCAAGAATGTTTCATTGACTTATTTTCGTTGACACTCGACAGAAAGTCAAGATCCGTACACGTCCATGTTGTTATAAGAAGTGATGTCTTCTTCTTATCATAATCTCCCCTAGAGAGCGCTGCAGGCCGCCACCCTGTACTTGATCATAGAGTTTCCCTCTCTCTGAGGCTGGATTAGCATCATGCAGGGTGGGCTGAGAGGAGGTTAAAGAAGACGTGTCCTGCCTTATGTGACCCCCAGGCCTACCCCACGCACCGCCGAGCCTTTGCTCTTTGCTCTTAAGTATGCAGAGGTCCCCGGCTTCATGGACTCGGAAGAGAGAGAGAGGGAGAAGGGTTGTATCGCGTTGCAGGGGTAAATTAGTGAGACCAAAGTCGGAGTTTGAGTGTGTTGGGGGCTGCGAACAATGGCAGCTTTCTGTCAGAGAGCAACTTCAAAGGTCCGTTGAGTGACTGCTCTGAGTTATACTTTGTTGTAGATCACTGAGGAAATTCACAGATGTTTTCTCATACGAGACACCATTATAGCGGCTCAAGTACCCAGTAGCCTCCAGCGTCTCCCTCTCCCTCTCTCTCTCTCCCTCCCTCCCTCTGACTTCCATTCTCACACATCCACACTCCCTCTCACTCCTCCTCCTCCTCCTCCCCCTCCTCCTCCTGTTCCTCCTCCTACCCAGTCTCTGATATCTCTGGTAGGAGACAGATGTGGAACCTGCTTTCGCTCCAACTGTCCAGAGAATATGGAGAGTTAAAAGAGGGCCTGTGTTGTGGCGCTGCCCTTTGACTCTGTCAGATGCGAAGAACTCAACTGTCAGTTCACCCCAGCGTGTCAAAATCTCACTCTTCTTCTGTCAATCCCACCTATTTCTTCTTTGTAACTTTGGTTCTTTATCTTTAAAATAAATCAATGGAAACTTATATTCAAGAAAATATAAGAAATTCAAGAAAATATATTCAAGATTATTGTACTAAATGAATAACCTATAATTTGTTTTTCTCTTTTTTTTCTGCAGCTTGGCTTCTTTGTCACTGCATCTGAACATCACGATCTCAACAGTATATTCAGCTTTTACTGCCCCTGTTTATTTATAGTCAGACAGATGACGTGTTTTATATGAGTTAAATACATGTATGCAACCCCAGGTGTGCAGGTGTGTGTATTTTCTTTTCTGTATTTAATAATGATAGGCTTAATATATAAAAAAAACCCAACTGGAACACATCTGCCACAAAGATGTCAGATGTTTGGGGTTTTTTTTTTCTAAAAATGCAAATGAGGGTCACCTTTAAGTGCCAGGTCCTGCTGTTATAATTACACTTTACTGAAACGTAATGATTCAAATTCAGTCAGAAATTCAGGTCCTACCTTCAAATAGTAAGATGATGTGAAGCTTTTACTTTTCATAGTAAAGTTTGACACCTTCCTTCCTCTAACTGTAGGCAGTTTTGTCTCCTTTTTAAAAATGTTTCTGCTAATCCCTGCTGCAGCCCTTTAAGTGTCTGCGACTCTTTAGTGTTTCTCACCCGACTCTGATTCAGGCTTTTAAGTACTTTTTAAAGTACATGGCCGTTATTGACTCACACTATGTCCAGACCCACTTAGTGCACCGACTGAAAACTGTTGCGGCGAAGGTTCCTCTGAGTTAATTTCCCATCAACTGCCAGAGGAATTTTTCTTTTAGCCCATCCTCCGCTTGAAGTGACCTGTAGAACTCAAAGCACGGCCACCGGGAGGCGACGGTTGGTGCCAGTAAATTACCTCGGGGACTGGACATTGTGTCGGGCACACAGTCATGAATTTCTTACAAACTATATCAAAGTCCTGTTGAGGCAGAGTCGTCCCTCAGACCGGGTCCCATTGAGACACATCAAAATGTAAGAAGTTGCATTTAAGGGCTGCAGTGAGGATCTCAAAGGAAGACGCTCCCAGTACAGCCATGAAATTTATGCAGTTGGCGCGTGTGGCTTTGTGGCTTAGCATAGTGTGACAGCTCATATTCAAAGATGATTAATGTGGAAATTTAGTCAAAATAAGAATTAATATACTTGGCACAAACTCCCTTTGTCGCAGATGCATTTGGAGTTGAATGAACATTAGGGAAGATGGATGGGCGCTAATGTTAAAACAGAACAACAAACGTTAGCAATAAAACTAAACACTGCTTTGACAGTTGGCCATAACAATTGGTGTCACGGCAGCATGACTCCTTCCTGCCCCCAGTGGCATCTGGTCTGATCATAGAAAAAGAAAACACGCTAATTTAGCCAAGACATAGGTCAATGTTAGCCATAATTATATCAATATCAGATTACATTTAGGCAAAAGTACAGAAAATTAGCTTCTAGTTAGCCTTCAGTGACGCAGGGCACAAAAGATATAAAAGTTGTCCAAAAAATTCAAGCAACAGATCTAAGTTAGCTTAATGCACAAGTGCTACAAATTAGCCAAAAATCTCTACAAGTTGAAATGTAAGTGGAATCTACCACTATTATATAACAGTGAAGTAACTGTTATTAATAGATAGACGTACCTGAAAGCATTTCATGGGCAAACATTAAGGGTTGCCAGGTTTGTTGTTGTTTATCCTCCTGTAGGTGAATATATTTGTCCTAACTTTAGTTAAAAACAAAACATTTTCCACTGACTTCTGCTAAGATCAGTGCCAGACTCCTTTGTGTATGAATCAGTGGAGAATGTGCTGCCGTGTCACAGTCGTGCTCACCACCAGCTGCCATAATGATGTAAACAGGGTTGATCTCCAGTGTGTGGTGACTACAGCAGTCCTGTAGACAGTGTTGTTGTAGAGCGTGGTGCAGTGGAGCCCAGCAGGACTCCTCCTCTCCCTCATGACTGTGTATAAAGCCGTGGGAGAGGACGGGAACATTAATCCCTTCAAAGGAACACATCTAATTCAAAATCTGCTGCTCCAAACTTGAGAGGACGGTGATTGTTTCTGCAGGGAAGCCAGACAGAGATCACAGAGTCGATAAAGAAAACTTCCATTCCCACTTCTCACACAAACTATTTTTTGTTTTTAATTTGCATTGGGGTTTTTTTGTTACCTGTGTCAGACCAGGCTTCTCCAGTGTCTCAGAGCTAAATGTGAACTATTCAACAACTTTCTGACCTTTTTTATCATCCAGGAACACATTCATGAATTTATGATTCATGATTTTTCCATTTTGAATAATCTGCAAGGACAGATGTTTGAGCATCCATCGTGTGTATGGCTTTGGCTTTTTATTATTTATTGTTCCCGTTGTTCACTATAAGCTTTTCCTTAATTAATTTTCAAATTAATGCACTGGTCTCCGGTGACATTTTTTTGTTTGTTTTGTTTTTGTCTAATGTTACGTCTACTAATTTATTTGTTTGTATGTTTTTGCTTTTCATTGTTAAAAACATAAATGCTTTTCTTACCTTTGGATGATTGTTGGCTAACTTTGATGTGTTGTGTGACAATATTGTTGTCTTCTTGCCAACCTTTGACCTGTTTGTTTGTATCTGTTGGACTTGTCTGTAGTTTTGTGTGGTTTCTTGTGACTTTTGTTGCTGGTTATTTTTGCTAAGAAATTGATCATTCTAGTTGTTCTTTTAGTATATTTTGCTGATATTAGCATGTGGCTAAATGTTAACACTGACTAAATGTCTTCATTATTATTTTCCCTTAATGAGTTTATTTTTACTGCATGTTGGCTAATTCTTAATTTAAAATAATCTCAAGGCTTGAACTTGTTGTTGGACAAACTTTGCAACAAGGTTTGATATTAAGTGGATAAAAGATATATATATATATATTGGCTTCTCATATTTTTGAATATTAGTTAAAATTAGCTAAAATTTCAATTTCCAACAAAGAAGGAAGGGAAATAATTCGAATTTGTAGCCTCAGATTGCGATGAATGAAAACGAAAGGGGCATTTAAATAAATCAGAGGGCCATAATTGTGTGTTTAATGCTGCGCCGTGCTTCAAAGACACAGAAATGTTTTAGTCCAACTGAGAAATATGAAAGAGTGGGGGATTCTTTATAGTTAAGAACCTTGTGTTGAGTCACTTTTGGGTCCATCAAACAGTCAGATCTCCGCTGATAACAATGTCACATTGTCACTACACTGGCTCCTGCCACAAATCCTTAATTATAAAAAAAAGGGGGGAATCAGATGACTACAGCATCCCATACCGGGGGTCTCCAGGCGGCATGGGGGTCTTTGATCAGGAAAATCCAATTATTTGTGTATATACATTTCCCACATAGTGATTACTTCATTAATTGTCCCGCCTTTATCTCCTCCCTTCCCATCCCCCCTAATAATCAGCTCCTTTATCCAGAGCAACAAACACACCATAGGAGCTTTGTGGATTCAAAGGATTTGCTTCCCTCCTCTCAAAGAGCCGCCATTCTTTGATGATTGGGCAGCGGCAAACTTCAAAGTCATAAATCTTATTTGTGACTGGCTGGCGGCCCATCAAAGTCCTTATCAAGTCCTAAGAAGTGATCCCTCACTCCTCAGATGGAAGCAGGAGATCTCGGAGAGAGGAGTCACAGCCCGCTGCAGCGGAGGAGCACGTTGGTCTGAATTAGCACCAGTGTATATTTTATTTTTATTTCCGTTTCATCCCTGCGAGAAAAGCAAAAAGCGGGAGGACTACCTTTACCATGGCAGCAGTGGCGGTGCTGCGGAATGAAACACTCCAGGCTTTTCTCCAGGTTTGTGCGCAACTTTCTGATGACTTTTTTAATAACTTGCGAACTCAGTCAAGCGCAAAGATTTACGCTTCACACAGTTAAAAAAGTCTCGTATAATTTAATTGCTGCCACTAATAGTCTGCGTTAATGACATAAGCGCAACTTTTAATGTTCAGGTTGAAAGAAAGATGAAATCCGAGGCTTTCCTTTGGCAAGGTGAACAATAAACGCTGCATGTTTGACTTTTAAGTGTTTGTTGAGGGTCGTAAATGAAGGTAAATTATATTTGTGATATAAAAATAATTCAATTTTTGCCTGTCAATGGTCCAGGACCGCACTCCGAACTCGTCTCCAGAGAACTGTAAGCACTCTCCGCTGGCTCTCCTGGCTGCCACTTGTAACCGGATCGGGCATCACCACCACGGATCGAACCCCACAGATTTCCTCCAGGTTCCTTACGACCCGACCCTGGGCTCCCCTTCGCGTTTATTTCACCCGTGGACTAACGAGGGGAACCCTCAGAACTCCCTGAGCACCAACTCCACTTTTGGACTATCCTCCAAGACGCAGCTCTCCGCGCACATCCAGAGCTCCTTCAGTCCGCACCATCACCACGAACTGCCCCTCACTCCTCCAGCGGACCCGGGCTCATACCCTTATGAATTCTCTCCTGTGAAGATGTTACCTTGCTCCATGCAGTCCCTGCAGTCCACCTGCCCCCCTACGTACGTCCCTGCTGTCAGTTACGCAGCGCCACCGTCCATTCCTCCACCCGCGATGCCAACTTTTGTCACCGGACCGTCCGGCCTGGTGCACCAGCAGCAGAGACAGTTGTCCCCGAACCCCGGAGAGGACATCCCGTGGTGGAGCCTCCAGCAGGGCAATCATCACCACCACCACCACCACCACCACTCCTCATCCTCCACCCTGGCTCCGCACCGCTTCCAGCTTCAGAGGAGTCTGGTGCTGGGACACACGGACTTTGCGCAGTACCAGACGCAGATCGCGGCGCTGCTCCACACCAAATCTCCCCTGGCGTCCGCGCGCAGGTGCAGGAGGTGCAGGTGTCCGAACTGCCAGGCGTCCACCTCCAACGACGAGCCAGGCAAGAAGAAGCAGCACATCTGTCACATCCCGGGCTGCGGGAAGGTTTACGGGAAGACCTCTCATCTGAAGGCGCACCTGAGGTGGCACTCCGGGGAGAGACCGTTCGTCTGCAACTGGCTCTTCTGTGGCAAGAGCTTCACCCGCTCTGATGAGCTGCAGAGACACCTGAGGACTCACACCGGGGAGAAGCGCTTCGTGTGTCCGGACTGCTGCAAGAGGTTCATGAGGAGTGACCACCTGGCCAAACACGTCAAAACTCACCAGAACAAAAAGAGCAAATGTCAGGAGAAGACACTGGACCACGTCAAGAAGGAGGACACCAGGAGCCTGTTGTGACTGTCCTCCAACACTCCAGAAGTCCACAGCAGGATCCGCTCCCTCTGTAGTACAGTCCAGTCAGTGCTCAGTGTAGGTCCCTGACTCCTTCATCCTAGTTCACACCTGAAGAGTTCTGGTTCTGAGTGGGACAGTTTGAAGTGTACATAAAAAGTATCATAGGTTAATTTTTGGACCTTCGACAACTTAAAACTCACGAGTTTGAATCCAGAGTCTTTTCCATATCACAACAAGAAAAGACACGTTTTCAACTCGTGTTTTGATCATTGTCTTCACTGGAAGATTTTCTTTTCCTGTAAATTCTATATAAGAGCTTTTGTTGAATGAAAGTGTCACTTTTTTTGCTCCATTTTGGGGTGTTTTTTTTTTTGTTTGTTTGTTTTTTAAAAGCATGCTCTTAAAAAAGATCTGCTATTGTTGTTTGATCCTAAAATAATGTTGGAAAATAAAGATTATAACTTTTTTTCGTGGCGGAATAATTAATTTAATGGAGCGGAAAAGACTGCGTTTATATTCAGTATATCATTTGGTAATAACTGAGTGATGGACACAAAAGAATGTCACTGATTTATACATTTATTTCCAAAAACAATGTTGTGTAACTCCATATGGTCCAAAATATAATATTTAATTTAGTTATTACGAGTTTTACATTACGTTGAAGAGTACATTTGTCTCCTGTCAGTCTGTGGAGTCGGTATAGAATTGAAAATGTACCTTTTTCACCTGTTTCTGGTGCTAAAAAATAACTTTTTCATGGCTTTGTGACTTCAGAGTTCAACTAAATATCGCTGGAGCTCAACATACACTACGTCTGTGAAGTAAATTATTAGCTTTTACTTTGAGAAATAATCCGTAACACGTACACTACGTCTGTGAAGTAAATTATTATTTTGAGAAATAATCCGTAACACTCAACTTAATGGAAATGCAAACGTTACTTCACATTTCCTTTCCTTGTCCCAGAAAAACCAACACGTTGCAGGATTGAAGATTCAATTTAACGTATAAATGTGCTACGAAAACATCAGACAAATAGATACTTTTATATTTGAAACAATTCAATGTTAAACAAATTTGTGTTATCGGCCCATCCCTGTCTGGATCGCAGTAGATGAAAATCGACTTTTCCTTTTTCATATAATTTTTACTTTATACTTTTTTCTTCACAGCTTTAACTGTGCTTAGCTTTAGTGTGTGTAGTTTATCACGGAGAACACAGATATGGGGGGGCGCGGCCTTGGTGAAATGTATTTGCAATATTAACGTTTTTTTTTTAAATTTCTTGTTTTTTTTTTTAATGAAAGTCAATGAAACAAAGTCATTGCAGGGCTTTTTATCAAAACTAGAACAATTCCTGAATTCTTCATTCAAGGTGGATATAAAACCTTAAATTATGGATAGATTCCAAAATTTATTTTAAATGTGGATTCTGTTGACCAACGTGATTTATTTGCTCTGCTCTTAAATGAAAACAATTGGTCAAAAATAATCGTAGAAAATGGCAGAGAGCCATCAATGTTCTCCTACCCCTGAAACAAACAAAATCTCTACTTTGTGAACTTTTAATATGAACAAATACGGTCTTTCTTCTCTGTTGGAGGCTTTTGTAGTGACACACAGACTGAGTCACAGATCAGAGAATATTTTTCCTGGAACATCACTGGACTCGTGCCTCACGCAGGACTTGCAGCTGCTTGAAAATCTGGTCCAATCACTGAGACAACAGTTCACTTTGAGGGGATTTTTGTGACTAACACGTGTTTAAAAAGTCCTTCACAGTCAGGATGTGATCAATTTGCCTTTCCTCTGAAACACACTCTGACATGGTCTGGTTGTGACCTTCCACTCTTCCTCTTTAGTTTTAGTTTCCAACTCTGGCTTTTCTGAAGGGGTTAAATGGTTGCAATATAACGATTATTTAGAATTTCTACTTTCTGACCTTCTTGTCATCCCTGTGAGATGGATAGCAGTGACTACAAAGTCTAAAAACATGAGTAAATATAGCCGCTGCCTGCAGCTGGCAGACAGTCACAGTGTCATCTGTCAGTCTTGTGAACCGTCAGTGGAAGTGTCAGTTTGAAGGCAGCTGCTTTCATTCAGCACAACTCTCAGCTCTCCGTTTATGCCTCCACAGCGCCCCCATACCGTTCCTCAGAATAGTGACGACCCGCGCTTGTTGAGCGGCGTCTACACTTCTGTGTATATAACAGTATAACAACAGACAGTTGAAGCAGTGCATTCAGATGAAACCGTTGGAAATCTTTATCCAGACTTCACGGTCCTGTAGAGAGGCAGCCAGACACTGTGTTGGTGTCTGTATTTCAACACTGGAAGGAAGCCGTAATGCTGATCTATTCATCAAAAACAAAAACAAGTTAAATATTAGAAGTGATGTTCACTAACCTGCATATAATGCTGATTTATTTTAACACAAGTTTGTTTTGCTATTAGGGCTTTTCTGTTGCAAGTATCTGTTGCATAAGAAATAACAATAATTTGAATCTACTGTTTGTATATAAATATGTTTTTCTCTCCTGTACACCACTGAGGTGAAGAACAGGAGGTCACTGCTCAGGTTAGGGTTAGTCTGGGAGCTTTTCAAAACTTTGAGTGATTTTTTTCAGCAAACGGCCTTTGAAATTTCAAATAATTTAATATTTGAAATTTAAACCAAGCCTGATTAAAAACGTCCAGGATCCTGACGTTAGGGTTCAGTTCTACATTCAACTCTAATCATTTAGTTTTTTTCAATGTAGGGCATGAAATTGCAAGAAATGTTGAGGATCTTTTGTGCTACAGATTATAGCAAATTAAGTAACTCATATTAATGGACTTTTATATTAATATAAATTAATTACAGAGAAATATGAACCCTAAGTATTTTTGATCAAGTTCATTGAGGATTTTCTGTATAAAAAGCTAAATCTTGCCTTCCCAGTTTGCAGTAACTTTCGTTTTTATTATTTTTTCTTATTAGTGTTAAAAATTTAGCAATACATCTGTGGGCGTACTTTTAGTTCTTTTAAATATCACAAAGACGGCCATATTAAAACTGAAAGAACTCTCGGTGGTGGTGGTGGTGGTGGTGGTGGGGGGGTACAGACGTCAGTTTCAGTCAGCAGGGGGAGTGACGTCCTCATCACACACAGACCCAGTCTGCTGTGGCTTTGACTCCGTACAGGCTGTCATGATGAATTAAATCAGTGACGTCAACAACAGCGCTGCACTCTGGGGGAGTGTAAACACAACAGTCACACAACAGTCACACAACAGTCACACAACAGTCACACAACAGTCACACTACTCTTCAACGTGTAGTTTAATGACTGTGAATTGTGGGTGAAGTCTGGAATCGACCCAACAACCTTCCATTTGTAATCCAAGTCATACCAAAGTTAAAGACACTTGTTAAATCTCAGCTGTTTGGAATGTTATACAAATTTATTATTGAAACTTTTCCATACATTACAGAGAGTCAATTTAACATGAGGAAAAATATAAGAATATAATAGAAGACTTACATATATATTACACAGAGATTAAATAAAAACCTTGGTTCCTTCTGACAACAAGTCCATCGTCTGGTCTGGTCTGGTCTGGTCTGGTTTGGTCTGGTCTGGTCTGGTCTGGTTTGGTCTGGTCTGCTCTGGTCTGCTCTGGTGTGGTATATTAGGACCCAGTGATGATCCAATCGTCTCAGTGCTGTTGTTTTTTCAACAGTCTTTGATCCAAGCCTTACGGTTCTCTGACCCTGAAAACATTGTTTGTCAAAACTGTTGTCATTATTTAAAATGTTGACTTAATCAGCGGCCGCTTATTTTAAATATTATTTACATTTAAATTAGTGGTTAGTCGACTCCGTGACAGATACAGCAGCAGGTCAGCTGCTCCAGCTGGACTTTGACCTGTGACTTTACTAGTCTACATGCTGATGTGTTCATGGACGAGACACTCGACCATAGGTTGCCTTCACACAGAGCAGAGCCACAGAGTCAAATGGAGCTAACGGTGTTTGTACACTGTGTTAGAGCAGCATTGAAACCATTCTGTGAATTAAAGGTTCTTCACGGTGAATCTGAACCTCGATCACAATGTGAGGGCTTCTGGGTAATCTTCTGCTACAGAGAGAGACAAACGTAAGACAGCCACAGGACAGGAGGAGAGGAAAACAAACTAAATCTTTCTTGCGGTGCTGCTTCACTGATGGCAGAGATGATGATGATTCTAAATACATGAAAACTAATGTCTTATTATTGTTAAATAACCCCTCTGATTGTGACTGGCCATTTTGCATAATTTACATTTTTATGAGAAAATTAGAGGGTTGTTCTTTTACCTCTTTTAATTGGCTTTAAGAGGGGGGTGTAAAAAATGGGAGGGGTGTCGTGGGGGGACTGGTGTGTTTAAACCATGAAAAATTGTGAAATTGGATTCAGACTTTGACTTCTCATTTTTAGCCATATTAAAGTGTTAAAGATGAAATCCATGTCAGCCCTGATTAAAGTGGTGACTGTGGAGTGTAGATTTCTGTGGGAGAGGTCACGCAGAGTGAGGTCCATGCTGGGCCCCATGTTTTATACATCAGTACATAATCATTAAAGTATAATTAAAACCTGATTTTTCTCCTCCTGACTGATTTCCATCTCTTTATTGAATACATAAATATGTTTAGATGCAGATAAGCTCTCACATCGCTCCACTCTGCACACACAGTCAAAGCACTTGAACCACACACTCCCTGAAGACTCATTTTAATCCCAGGATCAGAACACATGACCCTCTGTTTGTCCTTGAACCTTTTTCTTTTTAACTTTGAAAACATTTTTACTTTTAATATAAAATTACAAATGGTCATTACTAAAAAAACACAATTCTTTATCGTGTATAAAGATGTCTCATATTAACTTTTTTCACAGCAACATTCATCCTTCCTGCTGGTCCAGTCTAATTATATATGATTCACAGTTCTTAACACAGTCCTAAAATATAAATATATATTTCACATAATTGCATTATAAGTCCTAGGAGAATCATCATGTAGTTCCAGTTCTTACAGTTAACTGACTGAACACTGAAAAACAAAACATTCTCACAGGAAACTTGATTTAATGTTGAAGTTGCAAGAAAAATCACAACAATTAGACATTTAAAAAAAGAAAATCTAAGAACTACAGTGAAAATATCTCTGTTACAAACACAGGAACAGAACCACAACCTTGGATTGGATTAGACTCCACCTTGTGGACAGTCTCATACTGCTAGACATGAAAACCAAAAACCTTTTCATGGAAAGTCTCATACTGCTAGACATGAAAACCACAAACCTTTTCATGGAAGCACACACACACACGCACAGAAAGATATATGAGAGAAAGAGAGGGGGGTGGGGGCTTTATAGCATAGGAAGAAAGTGAAATTATTTCAGATTTTATTTCATGCTTTTTTATTTTTAACGAGTGAGAAACACAAGCAATTTCCAAACAATGTGATTGCCTTACATTGACGAATGGATATTCTCTGTCTGTCTGTACTCTGCAGTGACTTCATGGCGTTGGCAATACTATAAACATTGTTAGTATTTACTGTGATTCGAAATTAATAGCAGCACACTTAACATTCTACATTCAACCACTGAAAAACGGACACGGCCCAATTGCATCATAACTGTCTAGATTGAACTGTTGTACGTGTGCTGTGCTGTTGATTTAACCACATAGTCCAGGTCCACGCAGGTAATATGCCTTACAGTGTGTTGACTTAGGAGATGTTAATAAAACAGCCTTGACTTCACTGGAATACATTTTTCTAAGATAAACCACAGTCTTCGTGGTGAGCAGGCGGTGGCCGCAGGGGGAGCTGTCCGGTGCTGAAATCCAGAGCAGCCTCTGTGACTCACCTCACGTGTAAATTATACCCTGTGTTTGTCATTAACAGCAACATGTGATATAACATTTAATTAGATTCATAATGATCCATCTCCTGTGGGTGAGTGTGTTCTCTACCACACCACTGCTGTCGAATCGCTGACCTCTGCTTGTGATTGGCTGTCTGCCGCCGGTACGTCCTGTTGTTCATGTAAGATGGTGACGTGCTCTGAAATTAATGGGTCGGTTTATAATTAGCTCCATGAAGTATTTCTGGAACGGCCCATTTGTGCTCCCCGCCTCTGCGCGAGAGAGTCATTCTTGGTTTCCTACTGCCACCTGGTGGACATCTAGTTGCTTGTCCACCTACTGGTGTTGCAGTTACATCTACAACTCTGTACGCAGCAAAAGCAGCACAAAAAAGATGTCTGTAAATGTTGTGGTAATTCTGAACAAGTTAGGTGACCATTAGGTTTATCTGCAAATGTTGTATTGTCGACCTCTCCTTTCCAGTGACAGCGTATTAAAACTAACAACGTGATTGGTTGGAGGAGATTAAATAAATAATTAAAAACAAATTAAAGGAGTTCCGTGGTGCTGATTTCTCCTCTTTTCTTCCCTAGAACCAGACCTCCACCACCTCTGCCCCCTTCGTACCTGATCCATTCTCATGTAGTCCACGTCATCAAAGTTCAAGTCTGTGTTCGTGACCCGCAGGAATCATATTGGACCTGTTCCCCGGCGGGGGGAAAATTCCCCCCCACCCCCCCCCACCCCCCAATACCCAAATACACAATTCCAAAAAAAAAAAAAAAAGTCACACCACTTAAGCAGCGCCACCCGCCCAGGACCTGCAGAACCTTCTGTCTGCGGAGGAGGTGGTTCGACTTGTCCACAAAAATGCAGCAACTTCCGCTGAAGGTCCAGCACCTGCATCCTCCCGTGACTCACCCGTGACAAAAACACAGCAGAGAAGGGTCTGCTTCAAATGTCAGCGAATCATATCTGCCTCCTCCACAACAGCAGCAACAAGGTCACCTTGATATGGATCTGAACTGAAGCTCGACTCTGTTCTTCTGCTCCCTGTGCTGTGGAGTGTACCCGGAGCGCAGCAGCTTCCGTCTCTGTCTCCTCCCCGGGACTTATTTGATGCTTTATCCACTTTTTTCTCCTCCACTCGGCTGCACCTGTTCACCTGGACACACGAAACATCGGTAAGTGAGCTTTTTGTTGTTCATTTGGAAACTCCAACCACCAGGAGACTTAGAGGAACTCTTTTTTTTATTGGGATTGGAGAGGCTCTAACAGGTGTTTTCAGAGGGTTTGTTTTTCTTGGAAAATAAAATATTAGGGGGAAAAAATTCTAATGATGTAGCAATAAATTGTGATGTTTGCTCTGTTTAACCTGGTGGAGGTGTTTGCTAAGAAAGACGCGTGTTTTTCCCGATTTTCTGCGTTTGACTTTCACCTGCATCACTGTCAATATTCACCTTGAACGGATTGTTTTCGATGCAGATCGCTGACGTTGAATTTATCTTTGTATTTGTATTTGCTGAATTTCCTCACCTTACTCCCCAGAATGTGATGAAGATGTTTTATAGCCACATCATTCATTCCCTTTGTCTGTTCATTTTTGAGGGTGACAAATATATAAATCTCCATCATCCAGGCCATGATGGTTACGGTGCGTCCTGTCAGACGCTGTTAAATGATTGCTGAGATGTGACTAGAACTTTTACTGTTTATTACTGACATTCATTTTCCTAATTATTCTACACTTCACTACAGTATTTCCTCAGTATGAACTTGTCAGACAGATCGCGCCCTTGTCGCCTGCAGGTCTGTGTCTGTGTTTGGAGATGTGTTTGCATCTCTCTCATGCCTCCTGCACAGTCTTTGTGGGTTTGACTCCTGTATTTTGCACATCATAAGGTTAGAAAACAGAGAGGTCCAGGGTGAACACAGAGGGGGAAAAGTCACCTGGTTCTTGTTGTTTTGTTTTTGTTTTTTTGGAGGTGAGGACTTTGGCACTGGGTCTCAGGGAGCGATGGCGGCGTCTGCCCCCCCCCCCTGCCGCTGGGGGCGGCGGCGGCGGCGGCGGCGGCGGCGGCGGAGAAGCTGATCCCACCAACTCGACAAATTTACGACCACCAGGCTCAAGTAGGTCCATCACAGATAAAATGCTGTTTCACGTGTGCTATTTACTTTGATGGCCACGGCATTCATCATTTTCATCGTGGGTGAGGAGGAGGGGAGGAGGGGAGGTTGGGGGGAGGAGGAGGAGGGTGTGGGGGAGTGGGAGTGGGAGTCGAGTGGAGGGGAGTAAAAAAAATCGCTGCCATTTGAGCATGGCTTCCTTCGCCACAAATCACTGCTGCGTTTCATCCGTCTCCTGCACGGACCTGCGGGCGGCTGCGTGACAGACTGATGCTGCTGTCACGCACTGATATCTGGAGGAGAAGCAGGAGCATCCAGAGAAAAAAAATATATTTATTAGATTGTTTATATCATTATGTCATAACCTCTGCTAATTACGTCTTTCTTATTAATTAAATTAATTATTACTATGCACCGATGCATCGGCCGATATTGACATTTGGAGTAAAAAAAAATCCATTATCAAAAAAAAAAAAAAAAATCCCTGCTCAGTGTTGTTGTTTGATGGTTTGTAGCACAATGAAACAACACTGTGTGTGACTGGTGTGACTGAAGGAGGCACTAAAGTCATGGTTTGTTACCAACGAGACGGGACAACGTTGGCAGCACAGAAACATTTGACTTTCCTTTATCTAATACAGTGTTTGAAATTATATTTGATGATGTAATTATTTGACATTTAATTAATAACAGCAGAACAATATTTTTAGGATCCAAAATAAAACGGTATAGATATTTTTTTTGTCAAAAATAAATATCAAAACCAGTATCAGTAAGTGTCCAATATATCAGCACATTTATTTGCATTTCTACATTTATTAAATATAAATAATACTCTTGGTGATTGTGTCAGTATTGTGATGCATAATTCTTGGGTTTTTAAAAATTATTTTCCACTCCCTTTGCTTTACTATAGCGGGGGGGGGGGGGGGGGGGGCTGCTCCTCCACAGCAGGTTAGTTCACCTTATTAAACTGTCACTAATGGCTCCACTCCACACAGATGCATGGAATGAGGAAAAAGATCAAGAAAATAATAACAAATGTACATATGGTTAATATAGAAATAAAAATAAAAAGATTGAAAACATATTTTTGGGCTGTATTTAAATATAATTTAAAGGCCTACAGGCTGAAATGTTGTGTGAGAAAACGCTGTTTGTCAGCACCCGTTTAAAATGATTTTATTTCTTTTTTTCCCCTCCATTTTCACTCGTTTCCATTGTGCCTATCCGATTCTCCTGCCTGAAAAAAAATCGTTGTGAGGACTGAGTTAAAATGTGTCCAATGAGCTGAGCAGGGCAATGATTTATCTAATGAACCAGAGCAAGGGTTAAATTGGGGTGTGGGAATTGGACTGCCCCCCCCCCCCCACACACACACACACACACCGTATTCTCCTCCCCCTATTGCCTCGCCCTCCTTCCACCACCTTTTTTTTCTCCTCTTAATTTTGCTGCTTTTGTGGATTTTGGGGCTGTTCCCTCGACTCCCCCCCTCCGTGGCTGGAAGCCCTTGATAAGGCAGTAATTCTCTCTGTCTGTCACTGGGCAGAAGCCTCGTGTCTGTAGTGATGCAGGAATATTTTCGGCAGAATCCTTTAAGGCTGGCGTGGACCCTAAACGCCTAATTAATTTTGGGTCCTTGTCTGAATCATGAAAGGTGGAGAGTAGAAATATGAGCTAAATATATACATATATACATACATATATATACATATATATATGTATATGTATATGCACACCAGCGGAGGGGCCTGAGTGGGGGATACAACTAAAGGTTGTAAAAATCCCCCTCAGACGAACAGGCCAGGTATTTTTGTGATTTTCATCTTCACTACATGAATTTCAGATATTTTTGAAGACACAGATAGAAATGTTCTGACTCAGCGAGGCCTTCTAACTCTGTTTTTTTTCTCTCCATTTTTTGTAATCATAATTTCAGGCTATGACGCCTGGTGTGGAGTGGCTCATGGATGTACGAGAAAACTGGGAATGAAAATATGTGGTAAGTCCATAATAATAATAGTAATAATAATACGTTTTACTCTTATTATAAATGCTTGGTTTTGACTTTTAATTTAATACTTGAATACACGGTCTATCTTTGTACCTCACTAAACAAAACACCTACAAGTTGGAATTTACAACGAGGAATAAACAGTTGTAACGGACATTATTTTTGCCTGTGTCTTGAGACCGTTCAAGTCTCTAACACCATTAACCAAGGACGGACTGACACTCTCAGTAATGATGAAAGCCATGCGTCATTGCGCAGTTCAATTTTTCCGGTATTTTTTTCTGACCGTCACAATCTGCTGCCTTCATTACGGGGTCATTTAATTAGCCCGCACTTTATTATTCACCGCCAAACAGTGAAATAAAGAGAAAGTTCATAAATTAAAGCTGGCTCCTCGCTGCCGCCCTTTTCACGATCATTTTAACGATCATTTGCTGCACATTTTGCCGCCTGTTCCCTGCAGCCTTTCATTGATAAACACATAAGCATCCCATAAATCCACACACATCTATTATCACGATGGCCTCCTCTCCACTGCGCCTCGCCTCCGGGCTGGACACTGGCTGTTATCGGACCACTTGTGAGGTTTCCTGCCCACTGGACTGGACACTGTCGGTGGGGCTTTAATGAGAATTTACAGCAGCTACATGACAGCGATTTGTATCTGCTTGGCTGGAGAGAGAGAGAGAGAGAGAGAGAGAGAGACCTCCGCCCACATAGACCGCACCTATCCAAACCCCTGAACTCCACCCTAACCTTCCTAAATTTCCTAAACAGAAAGTGCACAGACTCCCAGGACACACAGGAGTGATGGCACTGGGGATCTAGTCTAGGCCTTAGAAGAAAATAAAAATAAAAATAATAATAATAATAATCCGCAGCTGTCAACATGTTTGGGAAGTGTAAACATTCTCAGGATCAATCTCTATCTCCCTGCCCTCGTTTAGGATTTTTGCAAAAAAACAACAGCCTGGAGGAGAGGAGCAGGATCGTGAGCTCTCTGAAGGAGCGCACCGCCAAGAGCCTGCTGTCCTGCGATAACATCGGCAGGGACGCGCGGTTCAGGCACACCGAGACGGACTTTTCCAATATGTATGCCAGAGGTAAGACTGCAGGCGGTTTATGGAAAATAAAACAAAAACGATTTGTTTTTAAATCTGTAAAAGACGAAGAAGTTGTGATAAATTGTGATTTTCAGAATATATTCTTCAATTACAGGTATATGTAGAAACAATGATGGAATATTGTTTACGTAAAAAACAATTAATATTAACAGTGCGTAAACAAAGAGAAACAAAAACAAATCCTCTTTAGAGGTAAAATAAATATGATGATACTGTATGTTAAGTAAGGTAACTACTTTATATTTTTATTGTAGTTTCACATTTTAATGACAAACACCATCGTTAGCTATGGGCTTAGAAGGAACAATGTAAATAATAATGTTTATCCTGACATTACAGGGTTTCTATGACTACACTGTGAAATCCATCAAGTAAACATTACATGATAAAAGCATAGACACCGTTTACACATATTCAATAAAAACGTTTTACTATGATCTAAATATCCCTATTAATTATTCTTTTTATGAAATAATGCGTGAAGTCAAAGTCAAGCTAGCAAAAATATTTGTGGCCAGAGTTTGTGTCTCACACTTGAATGATCAACATGGAGTGGCCCACTGTTTTGTAATGAAATAGCTGCATTATTAGTTATTAGTTTATTAGTTTTGATTGACTTTCATGATTTAGTTGCACAGCAGAGACGGGCATTTCCTGTTTCTTCCTGGGGGTTCACAGAGGACAACTAATAAGGTGTCCATTGTTTATTTATGGTCCATTGTCCCGACTGAAGGATTCACTGCGTCCCAGGGCTTGACCATTTCAGTCGTGTCTCCTGCTGTGCCCTGAACAAACAAGCTCTCAAAGAAACGGCACAAAAGCGTGTTGTAAAAGCAGAGGTCACCGCTGAGTTCAACAGTCATGTGTCAGAAATTCCCACAGTGGCAGGAATCTTAGGTCAAACACCAACAAGGAATACGGTTCTGGTTGATTGTATTGTATTGTTGTTGTTTTTTTAAAGATCTACTGCCTGCTAAGAATGGAGAGGAGCCGACCATGCAGTTCCTCCTGGAGATGGTGGAAATTCTCACCAACTACATCAGGAAGACCTTTGACAGATCCACCAAGGTCCTGGACTTCCACCACCCCCACCAGCTGCTGGAGGGCATCGAAGGCTTCAACCTGGAGCTGTCTGACCAACCGGAGTCCCTGGAGCAGATCCTGGTGGACTGCAGGGACACGCTGAAATATGGAGTGAGGACAGGTAGGAGACGGCCTGAAGGGGCACCACTGCCTGCTGCAATCAATAACTCCCATTAAGTAACATGCCAGTGTAATGATTACAGATAGAGCTTCGGTCTCACACACTCTGAGTTGAGAAATGGTTTTTCTGGGGATTATGTTGCTCTGTTGTCCACGGCAGGCCACCCCAGGTTCTTTAACCAGCTCTCTACTGGACTGGACATCGTTGGACTGGCCGGGGAGTGGCTGACCTCTACTGCCAACACTAACATGTGAGTCCTCAGCAGCTACAGATACTGTTGAACTGCTCACATGATTTATAATCATTTTTCTACAAACCAAATGATTTCTAACAGACGCTCTGACCTTTTGATTTACCTGGGAGGTTAAATGTCTTTTACTTTTCTAAAATTATTAACCATTATCCCAGTTTTGTATATTTTAAATGCCGGACTGACTGCAGTGAGTTTCAGCAGTTAAAATTCACATTTATACTAGTATGTGTTTAGGTTTAAATCTATAATAATAGAGAATCTTCTAATTTAAATCCACTGTCCACTCGTACAGGGTATAAGAAATCTTCCCTCCAGACTACACTTATCTCTGCTCATTGTTTTATCTGTGCAGCGGAGAGTCTTTCTCTAACAGGCAGCGATGTCTGGGGCTGCAGACTGGTAATAGATAGTCCATCCAGATAGTCAACCTCAAAGAGGAAAAATTTTAAAAAGCACAAAAGAAGACGTAGGTACAGCTCCTCTCCCTGCAGAATTGTCGATGCCGGACTGTGCTCGGGCGGCGCTCACATAATTCAGCTCTGAGGGCAAACTAAATTGCATATTGATTCACATCCACAGTTAACATGGTGTCTTTGTTTCACATAATGCTGTGACATAACAAAGCCTGCAGGGGAAAAACAGCAGCAACTGCCCCCCCCCCCGACCATCTGTACATACGACCACTGCTGATCACATCAGTGTTGTTGAGTGTGTCACGTGTAACTATACATGTTTTCCTGCTAATGAACACTGACCAACTGATCTGGGACTCTTTGAAGATCAAAAAGGTCTAAATGTGTCTTATTTTTTAAAAAAGAACTTTAAATTAAGGTTGTTTTATCTTTACTAATGTGTTTTTTTTACAATTTAATTTAATTTATTAGCTATTATGACAAACCATCAGGCTACTGTGGGTCATTTTTTGTCTTTAATTTGCTCTGGATATTATTTTTCCTAAATATAAGCAATTTCAGTGCCAGTGTTTTAGTTTAGCTAGCCAAGTTTTAGCTTGCGTAGCTTTCTGTGATATTTCTAGAATGGGTGGAATTATTTGACTATCACTTGGTTACACATTAGAAATATTTAGTAAAGTTAAACTATTTTTTTAATTTACAGCAATATCTAACTTTTCTTTCTTTTTTTTTTTTTACATTTTTTGAGTACTGATTAAATTTACAGCTTTACAGCTTTGTGCCAAATATCCCATCAATCTGTTTTCTTATTTGTTTGCCTGTCACTACATCAGTGTGGATGGAGGGTTGATTACGTACTTGTAATTCACCTTTATTAATGACTCCATCATCCTTAATTACCACTGGCAGATATCGACTGGCACTAATAGACTGACAGTCAGGTCCAGCGTTTACATCTTCTGACTAAGTGAGTGTCATCTGCAGTGATTTTTATGAGCCAAGTGGCGTGGACTCGTTCATGTTGTTCACTCGTCGTTATTATCACTGTATGTTGGCGATGCTGCAGGGAATATTGTAAGAAATGTATGTAATTGTATTAATGTTTAACCAATGAATTCTTTCCATGGAGAGAGTGAGTGATTGGATTGGATCGTTAAAACACAGATCGGCTCATAAACAGTAATAATCCCAATTTCACATTTTTATGATGCAGACAGTGCTTAATAAGGATAAAAGGTTAAAAGAGTCCATTAGTGAAGAGTTAAGGTGAATAAAAATGTGTTCTGCCACACAAAAATACTTAATTAGTGCCACCCACGAGTGAACGTTTCAGATAACGTATGGTAAAAATTGTGATTTTGAAATAGTAAGATTTTCTAGGTATTTTGTAAAGTTAGAAACAAATGTTTGTTCCACATCTTGGATTTAAAACAGTCACTGCACAGATACTCGTGCGCCTGCAGCTCCATCGATGAGCCCAACACTGGGTGGGATGTTCTGTGTCATTTCCCTGCAGCCACAGGCCATTTCTACAGCAGCAGAACGCTGCTGTCATTGGAGTGAGTCTGCTTCATTCACACACAGATAGCAGGGAGAGCTGAGTAACCACACTGTGAAATTAGAATATAAAAAAGACCCTGGTGGTAAAAACAAATCTCCTTTTTTATGTGGATCTCATGCGTATGTCTCAGCTGCTGCTGGAACTGAATCAAATTACAGCATTTTTTTTTCTCTCACCGCTCAATTAAAATCACGCTGAAACACAAATACAGAGTCAGCAGGACGCTTGAGTTTATTTGTTTCTGTATTTGTAGGTTTACCTACGAGATCGCCCCTGTCTTTGTGCTAATGGAGCAGCTGACGCTGAAGAAGATGAGAGAAATCATTGGCTGGCCTGAGAGTGAAGGGGATGGAATATTCTCTCCAGGTGAGAGTCAAAGCACTCCTGAAATCAAACAGACACAGCAAACCAGTATGTGCACAGTGATAATATTACTGTTTCTGCAGGAGGAGCGATCTCCAACATGTACAGCGTGATGATCGCCAGATACAAGTTCTTCCCTGAAGTCAAGACCAAAGGCATGGCAGCTGCACCCAGACTGATCCTCTTCACCTCAGAGCACGTCAGTCTCCATCACGGCCCGCTCAGTTACAGACACACTGTATGTTGGATTTGAACCTTAGACTCCAGCTGATGTTGATCTTTTCTCACAGAGCCACTACTCCATCAAGAAAGCCAGTGCAGCTTTGGGTTTTGGAACAGAGAACCTGATTCTTCTGAACACAGACGAGAGGTTTGGCTTCATATTAAACTCTACAGCATAAAAAGAAAACACATTATAAGACCAACCCTGTCTGTCTGTTTTTTTTTTGCAGAGGCCGAGTCATTCCTGCAGACTTGGAAGCCAAAGTAATAGAGGCCAAGCAAAAGGTGAACTTCACAGACGTTGTTTACAACAACTCATTTGTTTTCCTCCATCAGCGATGTCATGTGACCACAAAGTCTTTGCATAAAGCCTGTACTATTAAAGAAAGAAGACCAACTCTGCAGCAGACCCTTCTATAAGGTCAACTTATATATTAGTCTGCCTGGGTCTACAGTTTATCTCCAGACACTGTAAAGTGATGAACAACGCACTGAGACCAGAGGAGAAAATAATTTGAAGTAGCAGAAAGAGTGCACCTGCAAAAAGACTAGAAAACAGCTGAATCCCCCACTGACCCACAGCTCGTGGTTGATCTTTCTGCCTTTTCTCTGCTTCTGGTTTCCAGGGTTATGTTCCCATGTTTGTGAACGCCACCGCTGGAACCACGGTCTACGGAGCCTTCGACCCCATCCATGAAATCGCAGACATCTGCGTTAAGTACAACATGTGGCTCCACGTGGACGTAAGAGACGCTTCTTTGTGGACATTCAGTACAGAAGAACAACAAACACCTGGTGGGAATGTCTTTAAAGTGTGACTAACACCAATGTGTCCTGTAAAGGGAGCGTGGGGAGGAGGTTTACTGATGTCCAGGAGACACAGGCACAAGCTGAGTGGAATCGAGAGGTAAAAAAAGATCAACTAAACACAAAAAACACATAAAAGCTGTGTATTTTTGTGTATTTTTTAAAATATTATTTAATGTGTATTATTATTGTTATCATATTTATTAATTTCAGAAAGCCCATGTTTCCTATTGTAGGCACTGACAGTTGGAAATACCACTCCCACACAGACACTTGGCTGTGTTGACTGTTTTGCTCCTTTGTGCAGGGCCAACTCAGTCACCTGGAACCCCCATAAGATGATGGGGGTGCCTCTGCAGTGCTCTGCCATTTTGGTCAGAGAGAGGGTGAGAGAGACTTTGTTTTCTGCTGCACTCCATCCTTTAACAAATGAAGAGTAGTGGCAAACAAACAAACAAATGTCTGTCACGTCTCATCACAGGGTTTACTACAGAACTGCAACTCCATGTGTGCTGGCTACCTGTTCCAGCCAGACAAACAGTACGACGTCACATACGACACGGGCGACAAGGCCATTCAGTGTGGACGCCACGTGGATATCTTCAAGTTCTGGCTCATGTGGAAGGCTAAGGTGCACATTTACGTAGACACTCGCTTCTTCAACAACTCGGTCGCACAAGTTGAAGTTAAAAATAAAAAAACAAAATGCCTTCATTCTCCTTCTTTCTTCTGTCCAAAAGGGAACCACAGGGTTTGAACAGCATATTGACAAGTGCCTGGACCTGTCTGCGTACCTCTTCAATAAAATCAAAAACAGAGAAGGCTATAAGATGGTATTCAACGGAGAGGTGAGATTATAATATTACATTTGTAAAAAATCTGAAAGATCGCCAAGCAATAGCTAGAAGCTAAAACAGTAAATACTAAAAATAGCCAAATTTTTGCATAATTAGATTAGATTAGATTAGATTAAACTCCCCTATGGATATCAAAAAATAAAATGGCTCAGCTACAGGTGTTTCCAATAAAATCCAAACCTTAGTTCAACTGCGTAGCTAGAGGATGGGAAAGGCGAAGAGTTTTTAGGCCCAGAGTCCGTGAAGCCTCTGCTGACCTGCTGACTGAAATGTGAAAGTAAAGAAAACCCACTGTAATCATTCATGTTTCTGTTTTAAATCATGTGTTCATTATTTATTTATTAATCAGCCTCAGCACACAAACGTCTGCTTCTGGTACATTCCACCAAGTCTGCGAAGTCTGCCCGAAGGTGAAGAGCGAAGGGAGCGGCTGCACAAGGTGACGACAATCCCCAGATATGTTCAGATATTTGCAGCAAACATTTGGTGTTTTTATTCGTTTACTTTTATCATAATACATTTTGGCTCCACTAGGACAACACACTACAAAGACCAGAAAGTTGCAGTTGATTCAGAAGCTAACCATCGTTTTCCAAAACAGGTGGCTCCAAAGATCAAGGCCATGATGATGGAGTCTGGGACCACCATGGTGGGCTACCAACCCCAGGGAAACAAGGTCAACTTCTTCCGCATGGTCATCTCCAACCCCGCTGCCACCAGGTCAGACATCGACTTTCTGATTGAGGAGATCGAGCGACTGGGCCAAGACCTATAAGAGCCTCAGCTGTAATGTAACGCTTTTTCACTCAACCTCCGAAAAAAACATCTGGAGAGTCCTGGTACCGATTCCATGTCCCTCTCATCATGTACAGATGTTGGATTTTTTTGCTTACAATGCACAAGAAAATAGTATGCACTGAGTGTCAATTCATTGTCTCTTCTGTCTTCAGCGGCAACAACGTGTATTTAAAACCATTTGCACAGCAGTGTAAAAAAAACAAAAAGTCCATCCAAGTTTCAGATTACGACATGAGCACACTGTCGTCCTCAAAACAATTTTCAGAACTGCTGTTCAACAGTTCTGTCAGTAGAAGAAAAACTCCTCAGATTGCACCTTTACATATATATATATATATATATATACAGTATATATAGTCAGATTAAATGTGTCAATGCAGGTTTTGTTGCTGTAAGTGAAATAACAGCAGGGATTCCTATTAGGTATCACCAACAGAACAATAAATAATAATTATAATTATCATAATAATATTTTTTCACTCGTTACTGAGCACAACGTGGAAAAACATACAGTAAAACGGATAGTATAAATGTAAAATACAGTGTATGGTGTTCTGACTGTTGTCTGTGTAACTCTCCAACCAGAGGCACCGCCATCTTGTACCCTGACTGTTTCTCCCCTTGTTATGACATGAGTGGGGACATAGTGTAGCACAGTCATTGTGACAGGTTCTGTACTGGAGTGCTGTCTTTTTAGAGATTTTTGTGTAGATTGTGTATAGTATTGTTACATCGCCGTCGTGCCAAACATGTCATAAATTTTACAATGAAAAAAACAAAAACAAAAAACAAAAAACAAAGCTATATGTAAATCAACCATAATAGAGTAAAAATAGATCATAAGTGAATAACTTTATTTATCTGGAGAGACTATAATTGTGAATAGGTAATCTGCTATTCTGCTTCATTTTTAATGTATCCCTCAAACTTACAAATTCTCCTTTGTTATACATCACACTGTTTTTCGGGTAACACTGAAGTCTTTTAGTGTCTTTGTGAACCAAAGAAGGGTGGAGTTACATTTATACACATGTACGCGGCCCTGGTTTGTCCTCATGGATGAATTCAGATGTTTATATTATAAGAATGTTTAACTTGACATCCTTCAGCTGTAGTGCAATCTATGTTGTGTAACTGTGCAATGTCGTTGTGATTCACTGACTGAATGTCCACTGTCCAAAGGCTTCGACCGTCAAGGCTTTGGTGAGGATACAAAGCACAACGCTTAACCGTGACCGTGGGGCGGCTCACATTCTGGGCCCGTGTGATTGTCTGTATCACAGTCAATTCAGTGAGGTCATATTATAAGATGCAACATTTTCATTTGTTTTCGACTGTAGAGAGCAATTTAATGTCAGGAGAATCGCTGTAATCACTTGAGTTAAAGAGTTTTTGCCTGAACAATTTAACGCAGTGTTCGCTGCCGTTCTTAGATTTATTAAACAGTCGTACATTCCTGAATTAGTGGGATTGACTGTCCCCTGTTGGTGTAGGCACTTTAACTTTATGCCATTACGTGCAAAGTATGCAGAGTATTACTGTTTTTCCACGACGCTAATTTAAGAAAAAGAAAAGACGTGGAGTGTATATCATCTCTGGGCACAATTTTACAGTTTGTGTAAAGGACCTTTGAACTTATAACGAGCAAATAAATATATGTGGTGAACAACACTGAAACGCTGTCGGGTGAAATTACTTTTTTCCTTTGTCATTCATTTATAATTAAACGTATATTTAGCCGCTAACTACCTGAAAAGTAGTAGAGGCGTCTGAGTTAGCATGTTTAGCAATCATTGGTTAGCAGCTAACTACCAGCTTATTGTAGTGGGAGTTATTCATTGGTTGCAAACACGTTAGTAACTTAGTTCAGGGTCTCAAACTAGCCTCAGAAAAAATTATAGTTTTGGATTACGATCTAATGGTGGTTAATCTCTAAAACCTGAATCGCTGGAGTGATGAATGTGGCGCTAAAGTGGATTAATTGACAGCAACGTTGCTGTCAATCGTATTTTCCAGTGGCCGTCTGTCATCAGTTGATGGGATCAACTCCATTTAGTTATGGAGGGACTTTTTTGTTGGCCTACGATATGGTGTACTCCAGGTTTCAGGAGAGCTGGCTGCCCTCTGTTCTCTCATTACTCACACTTTGGAGATATTTATCATAAAGTGCATCAGACTGTGCTCTTTTAACAATCTTTTCCCTCAGGAGTCTATTCCGAGGCTCTGCCTGGCTGCCTTTTATTTCCACGCGGCCGTAGAGGGAAAGACTGTTTCACTGCTGCTCCTCCCATCCTCCACCAGACAGACGCTGTTTCTTTGTTTCACGCTCGAGTGCAGCAATCATTACACACTCAGTGTCACTCTGGCCGCTCTGTGAAATTACAGGGAGCAGAGGATTAAAGGAATAACCACCTCTAATGGGCTAATCAAAAATGATAACTCTTGACCTTTGCTGCTGCAGCTGAAGGCAGAGTGAGGTATTTTATTTGTTCCTCACACAGGATGGGTATATTGGCCATCTTTCAATGTGCCAGGGTGTAATGACATGGCTAATTTAGAAGCAGGTGTTAGAGAACCCCATAATGATAACATGCAAATGATATCAGACCTGCAGCTTCTACAGTTTGTCACAGTCTAGCAGTCTGTGGGTGTGAATAAATGGTCACATCCAGAAGGTATGGTTTAACAAGATATATTAGATATGATCCTAAGATGCTGAAGATTTTTTTTATTTTTGCAAATGTCTGGAATGAAGGTTTATTTTTTGTTTACTTATGTGATCAAACACAAATTCTTTTTTTTTCTTTTTTTATGTGGACATCAGGTGTAAGAACTCTGCCTAGTGCTGTGGAGACCTCTGTTAAACCGTCAGTGTTTCTTTAAGAAAATGAACCAAAGAATTCTAAAAGTGTTCCACACCAAGCATGCTGTATCAACACGCTCCATTTGTTTAACAAGGCTTCGAACTAAATTAACAGCACCACCTGCTGGAGGACTTGGGATGCTAAGTGTTGTTTACTTGCAAAAATGTCAGCTTGTAGAAATGCTGAGGAGCTGGAGCATCTGTGTTTCTGCATCACTTCTGTGTGGGTGTGCAGAAAGCTGGCTCTTAACAGCAGCCACTGAAACACAGTCTGCTGCTGCACTAGGCTGGTCACCCTTCATTACACACACACACACACACACACACACACACACACACACACAGAGGGAGGTTTGAGATGCAGATGACGAGAAGACAGTTCAATCCAATATATGTGTGCACTGCCTCTGCCAGATTCGACATGTCTGTGCCTGTAGAGTATATTACAATATATTTCCTCCTTCAGTTTCCGTGGTGCTCCACATACATCTCTCCACTCACCTCTGGGAATCACTGCCACATTAGTTTCTTGATGGATGCTGACATTTCCATTGTGAAAGGCAAATCTAATGAAATGATGATCATCATCATGATCATAATGGTGAGGATATTGACTGTGGGCTGCTGGCCAGATCACACATCCCCCCCCCCCCTTCTCCACACCCCACTGCACATTAATATCAATTGATTCCATTTACATTACAATTTCCCTCTCTGTTATTTCGGCTTTTACTCTTTATTAAATGATACTCATCAGATGATTTTGCAATTTTTATTTAAAAATGTGTTATTCCTGTTAAGTATGAAAAAGAAAAGATGACACAGTCCAAACAATAACAGACGCCAAACACTGTTTCTCTTCTTCTCGCCCTTGTTCTTCTTCATCTTTCATTTCTTATTATTTCATTTTCTTCTTCTTTTATTATTTTTAGACTGATGTCAAGCCTTAGTTGGACATCAACTCTGTTCTGCAAAATGAATTTATTTTGTTTTGTAGTAAATTATGAAAACATTATCCTAAATCTTCACATCCTATAAAAGTTTGACCTCTTTAATATCTTTATTTCTCATGTTCTAAATTTAAAATCCCAGCCAACCTGAACACATCCAGGGCTGAGACTTATACCAATAGTCTCTTATTGACTGTTTGTCAATGGCTTGATTAGTTTGGCAATGAGACAAAAAGTGAATGCAGCAGCTTAGTACAGTAGTTGACTTTATTAGCATAGCAGCGCTAATGTGTCTCTAATGTGATATTGAAAGACTTCTGGTAAATGTGTGTTCGGTGCAGATAAACTTCAGCTAAATCACTGTTTCTCCACTGATTGTTTCCTGAAGTATGAAATGCTGTAACACAGTGTTAGACCTGAGACCCTGCAGCATAGAGGCATGGTTACCATTGTCCTGGACAATAGGTCAGAACAATAGGTCAGATTTTACACACCCTCCTGGTGTGTAAAATTCAAATGATATACAACAACAATAGTGATGTGTTAGCTGCTCCTGCTGCTCCTTTTCATCTGAACACATGGCTTTTCACTGCCTCACAGCACAACACTGTGCAGTAATGGCTTTTCACTGCCTCACAGCACAACGCTGTGCAGTACATGTCAGCACGCTGCAGCTTTTTATTTTTATTTTATTAGAAAACACTTTTATTGTGCAGGAAAATCACCTCTCTTGCACGCACAAAACATGGACAGCTAATGCTGGCTATAAAAATGTATGACGCATGTAGCTGTAGCTCTGCTTATTCTGTAGAAACCCGTGTGTGAGAGACATGGAGAGAGAGGGTGTGGACAGAGCACCGAACAGCATCTCTTGATATTAATCAAATTATGGACACTTTAATTTCTGTCTACTTGTGTGTTAATGTCTCCTTCGCCTGCTCTGACTGACTGCACGCCGCTGCATGTCTTTGCAGCTTTCTCTGCTGTAAATTCCCGACAGAACTGAGGAGGAATAAATCTGAGAGAGAGTCATTCACAGCAGTGATCACAGAGTTTTAAGGCGTCAGCAAGCTGCTGCTGAAATACAGAGTTTATTTATCTGCACCCTGGAAAGAGCAAGTGTCAACGACCAGGGAGTATATCTTACTGTAGTAAATAATGGCTCTAAACGGAGCAATGAAGAACGCTGTTCTTAAATTGCTGCAGGACATGACTGAGTAAATTACTGAATAACTCAGCATCTGTTCTATCATTTATTCATGAAGTCATTTGATCTAAAAAGCTTACACAAGGCGTGGCCATAACCTGACTCTGGGGGGCAGTTGTACTTGAATAGATTTAATTATCCTTGGAATGTATGTTAAAATCTTTTCATGATCCATCGTTAGAATAAAAGTTAATCTTCTGATCTTTACTTTGAAATGGCTTTAGCCACTTCTGGGATTTTTTTAGGAATTCCTAAGCCAGGTTTCAGTACCTTTGATTTGTTTATTTACATAACTTCTGGTGTATTTTATTACAGCTTGAGTGTTCTTTGTTAAAATTGTAGGCTTTTCTTTGCAAAATGTTTTTTAAATATTTTAAATAATTTTCTCTCTATTTATTTAAATCCTGAACTTCATTTATTAGTCTTAAAGATGTCGCCAATTCAAGGCACAAGTTGTTTATTTTATATTGTCGTTTTACTGCACAGCACAATACAACAGTGCTTACTAAGGCTTTAGAAACAAAATGAACAGCCACAGTACAGTGGCAGGGACAGTTAAATTCTCTTTTTCAACGACAACGCACCTGACTAACCACATGGTGGCACCATTTATCAATAAAGTTCAACCTGTGGTTATCTGTGCTTCTTTGCCAGCTTGCTTGTAAATCAGATTATTTACCTCCATCATGTAGGTCAGTGTTTCTTATATCAAAATCAAGGCCAGGGATCTACATTTAGCTCATTTCACTGTTTGAACACAAAGCCAGTAAAAATCACAATGTGGAAATGTTTTGTTGCTTACTGACACTTATATTCAAATATTCAACACAAATATACAAAATGTGGGCCAGTTTGGTATTCATATTCAGATTGTTGGAGCCAACGTGTTCTTATACATTTTTTATTTCAATTTGTATTTAAAAATTAATTTGTTCATTCATGTTCAACTGACATTTTTATGATATTTACACATTAACACATTAACGTCCTGATAACCGACGTCAGGGCACATGTGCGCAGGCACTTTAAGGACAGCTCTAGGGTCTTCTTCGTAAAATTGTAAGTGGAGAAGATGCCTGTGTTTGTTTTCAGGTAAGCTACAGCCAAACTATATAAAAGTTTGACATACATATGTTTATATGGCACACAAGTTTTAGAAATATTGTGTGGGAGACTATGTCCGCCAAGGTGTGAACACGTAGTGTGAATGTTTAGTTTCACATAGTGAAGTTAGCGGTTGACCAGGGTCACGGTAATGATGCCTGTGTCTTAATGTTGTTAGACGTGGAATCAATTTTAAAAACTAAAACTTGTGTTAAGTGTACAACAAACAACTAAAAAATATATACAGTACGATACTTTTAATTAATTAATTCGATAGCAGAATGTCTTTGCAGTACAAACATCAGTAAAGTACACGGTATTGTCTGTATGGACACCTTTGTATATTTTTGTTTTTGTAATATGGTCAATCTTTTTTCACATTGTGCTATTTTACTATTTATTTTATAGTTACATTTAGCTGTACACCTGCAATATACATTCTATTCTATGTCTTATCATCCAAGTACGTCACGCTAATGTTGAATCCAGTCTATTTGATGAGAGTGTATTGAAGCCTGAAACATTAGCGTAGCCTGCAGAGACAAGGCTGCCAGGATAAGAGATGATTAATGAGTGGCGTCACACTGATGAGATGTCGGATAAGAACAGCTGCACGGCAGAGATATTCAATTCCATGTATATTATTGTACTGCTGTGGCCCAGGGTGAAATCCTTTATTATGATGATTGGATCACAGCAAGAGATTTTATTTTCACACATCTCTGGCCTGAATATCTTGTAAAGTGGCCTCAGCACCAGTCAAAGTCAACACGGATGTCAATGAAATATGAGCAAAAATTTGATATAGTAAAATGATGTGGGTGTCAAAATATTTCTTTTTTTTTATAGGTTGAGTATAGTTGTCAGTGTGTGATTGATTTTATTATTTGTAGTAAGACTTATTTGTTAGCGATGTATTGATATTTATAATAACTAATAATGTGAAGTTGTTAAATTTTTAAGAAGTAATTTGCAATGGGTTCTAAGAACCATAACAAACCATAAAGGGTATTTTCTTTTTTTTTAAAAACTCTGCACTTTAAGCTTTTGGAGCCTTGACTAAAGAGACAGTAACAATGTACATTGATGAAAATATTTACTTTACTATGAACTGAAAACTTCAGCACCAACCATTTGGGCCTGTTCCTGAAAATGTCATCCATGAGTTTTTATTTCAGTGTATAAAAACATGGTAGGGTTTGTGATGCTGCAAACTACAAATGATCTGTCATGTAACACTATGATGTAACTCCAGGCAAGTAACCCATATGAAGTACAGTACATTAATACATTGTGTGGGTGGGTGTAGACGGAAACGTTTTACTTCCTGTGGGATTTCTGTCCGTTTTCTCAAACCTGGGGTTTGAGGATGTATTCATCAAATAGATATTTGGAAAGACAGATGAAGGTCACATCAATCAATCAATCAATGGATGGATGGATGTCAGGATGGGTGGATGTTGGATGGGTCGATGTTGTATCGGTTGATGTTGGATGGATGAACGTCCCTAGCATTTATCCTTAGGCTAACTGTGATCACCGTATAACTTAATGTCGGTAATTGGAAATGGAAATGTAAACAGACTCTGTCAGCACTGGATCATTGTGTCACCAGTTCAGAGAGGAAGGAAGCGCAGACTGCAGCGCTGCACCACAGCGGAAGTGCCGGGAACCACACACGGTCGAAAACACGGGGCTGTGTCAGGGACGTGATCTGGAGCAGATCCGCCTGCGGTGAACGCGGACACGGCCAGTGAATCCCGAACATTCCCGCAGACATGGGGGGCTCTTCGAGCGTCCAGATACCCGGAGGAGGAACCGAGGGATTCCACGTCCTCAGGGTGAGAAGAATCTCTTCTATATTTCTCTAATAGTAAACAGAATCTCCCTGGATGACGTCCTTTTAGCCAGGCTTGTAATACCATACACATATCTAATAGAACTGAGAGGCTATTGGTCATCCATTCTTCTACCGCCGATCCTTCTCGGTAAACGGCATGGGCTTGTGCCAGTCCCCGCTGACAGCTGCTGAAAGGCGGAGGCGGACCGGACAGGTCACCGCTCCACTGCGGAGCTTAATATGGACACACGACTGACCTGATACACTCGATTTTTACGGAGACGATAATGGGACATTATTTATATACATTTGTATTTAAAACTTTACTGTAAAGAGAAAAAAAGTTCAATATTTGCGAGAAAAAGAAAAGGTCTGAAAAAACATACTCTTTGCATTAGAATAAAACTGTACAAATTTAAAAATGTTGATGTTAAGTAAAATACTGAGACAAATTACACTACTTACTTTGTACAATTTAATATTTTTCTCGTTTTTGATTTTATTGATAGCATTGTCAGAATTGAATTAAAAAAACACCTTTAGACATTTTGGTAAATATATTTATTTTTAAAAATAGCATGTTGTTTGCCCTCTCCTGTAGGGGCTGCTGTAAACACAGTTTGTCCTGTAAATGAGTTGATACATTGTACAACTTTTTTGTAAATGTAATTTTGAAACTTACATAAAAAGCTTAATGAAACCTGTATCTGAGGTTTGGTGGTTCATGTGTTTATGTCACTGCGCAGATGTGGTCAAACCTATGGTCACCACTCTTTAAAAGAGGGTGAGGTTGGCACTGCAGAAGGAAGGGAACGTGTCTTGTTTTTTTAGATCTACTGGTTTCCCTCACCAGAGCCCACGCCTCTTCTTGAAAGTCATGGAGTGGTGACACAGGTTGTTCAACATTTTAAACTGAAGCTGTCTACAGGAACAGTCTGCCTCCCACTGTTCAAACACATCACAGTGTTGTCTGTCAACCCCAAACACGTGGAACTCTGCTGTTGGTGGAGAGGCTCAAAAAACTACGCCTGTTGATCTTGACAACTTTATACATTGTTCTGAGTATTTATTGGACTCAAATGTGTACTACTTTTAAAATCTTAATCATCAATTAAAAATATCTGGCAAAACATGTGCATTTTCAAGGTTTTGGCTAAAAAACTAAACTTTCTATAAGGGCTGTCAATAGGTAAATTTCTAATCTGATTAATCACAGGGTATCATCATTATCATTTTAAACATGATTAATTAGGATAACTCAACATTTCTTTATACTGTAGGACAAAACAATTCTGTTTATTCTGTGTGATTTGTTTGTTTTTTATTTCTGACTAATCCAAACAATGGGATTATTAAAATACAAATGAAATGTCCAGAAATCAAATCAACTTTACAGCTGGTCTTACACAAGTGGTCGTCCCACCTGAGGTTGAAACCCTCCGAAACCCTTCCAGCACCGATGTGTGTGTGTGTGTGTGTTTGTGTGTGTTACATCCATTAAACATTATAGCTGTCATTTATCATTAATAATTTGACTGATGCGTTGACTGCCCTGATAAAACTGACGGGTGTTTCTTCTGCCTCCAGGTGCAGGACAACTCTCCTGGTCACCGTGCAGGACTGGAGCCATTCTTTGATTTCATCATTTCTATATGTGACACAAGACTGGTACGTGTGTTTTTTCCACTGTACCACCGCATTGAACCTAATTCAAATCACCTGTGTTTGTGTCGAGAAAATGGAAAAACAGATAACAGAGGGATATATATATATATATTCATATTTACTTCATTCATATATTCATTTCATTGTTGTTTTATTTAACAAAGTAAACTAAGTCAAAGTTAGATATCAGAATTGCTAATCAACTGCTAATCAATTATTTGAAGTGCCTGGATAGATTTTTTTATTATTATTTATGTTTCCATCACTGGTAGAACAAAGACAATGACACCTTAAAAGAGCTACTGAAGATAAATGTGGAGAAGCCCGTGAGGTTGCTGCTGTACAACAGTAAGACCATGGCAGTGAGGGAGGCGACGGTGACACCCAGCAACATGTGGGGAGGACAGGGGCTGCTGGGAGTCAGTATTCGCTTCTGCAGTTTCGAAGGAGCCAATGAAAACGTCTGGCACGTCCTGGTGAGTGTGGGAAATTAACGAGAGTGATGACTGATCTGCACTTGTTCACCTGAAAATGTGAGTCAAAATCACTTAGCAAATCATTCACACTTGTTGGCCACTTCATTAGGTACAGGCTCTGACACAAGATAATTACAGTATGTTTTACCTGTTGTTCCTGGTAGTCGTGCCGTTCCCACAGCTGATACAGCCACCAAGTGAAACTTGTGGGAAAAGTCCCAAGATCCAGCTCATGTAGACTAGTGGTGATTGGATTTGTTAGAATTTAAAATCTACAGTTCTGAAGACATCAGCTTTGCCTAACAGAATGAAAGTATACATTAAGGTTTTGTGTTTTGCTCTGATCTGAGTCAAATCACTGTCATAAATTTCTCGAGTACAGGAGGTTGAACCTAACTCTCCTGCAGAGCTGTCTGGTCTCAGGCCCTTCACCGACTACATCATCGGAGCAGACTCTGTCATGAACGAGGTAGCCGCTCTCCATGTTGATCATACTAATGTTTGTATGAAGATGGCGACCAGTTACAGTCCCTCGTCTCTCTGCTGTCTGAACAGAGCGATAACCTGTTCTCTCTGGTTGAATCCTACGACGGGAAGGAGCTGAAACTCTACGTCTACAGCACTGACACGGACAACTGTCGTGAAGTCATCATCACCCCGAACTCAGAGTGGGGAGGAGAGGGCAGGTACGAGAGTCTGTGATGTTTGTGTTTGGAGAAAAAAATGGAAGTTTTGTTACAATGAAACTATTGTGAAGACAAAAACACTGGTCTGCAGGTGATTGTAGTCATCTTCAATTTAGCTGGTAAAGAAAAGATGACCAAGTGGTTGATTTTTTTCATTTATTCTTTCATTCACTGCTGCCACAGTTGTTTCTCATTAGGACCACATCAGTGTTTGATTTAACATAAATACAAAGTACAGTGTAAACAACCAATATACATCTTTTTTTCAAAATAATGAAATTACCCTAAGGTTAAATTTTCTAATTATAATTGACACCTTGACATCTGGCCAAGTGTTAGCAGGGTGGAGTTTAAGGCCCGTGGAAGTAACCATTCAAACTCACAGACTGTAGAAAACTCCATCTATCCATCCATCCATTTTCATCCGCTTATCCGTTACCGGGTCGCGGGGGCAGCAGTCGCCACCCAAATCACATTGCACCGTACCAACCCCCCAAACCTTCCTGCGGATGGTGAGATGGTGAAGGTATTAATCGCCCTAACTGGGATTCGAACTTGCCCAGGAGGTGAACCCTGGGGTTCCACACCAATGACAGAGACTTTGCCTCTGGGCCAAAGCACCACTTGTAGAAAACTCACGTATGAATATTGCAAATGTATGGATGTAGTGAGAAGAACACACAGAGGAGGTTGGTGTGCCATTTGACTCCACACAGTAACTGTCATCTCCCTTCAGTCTAGGCTGTGGTATTGGCTATGGCTACCTGCACAGGATTCCTACTTTGCCATATGAAGAGGGCAAGAGGCTCAGTTTACCTCTACAGACTCCCAGTGAACTTCCTGCTTCACCTCAGGATGGATTCACAGAGGTGAAGATTTCACTTTGTATCAGGATTTATTTTTTAGGTTCTGCCAAAGTTAACGCAAATTTCTACAAACAAAGCAATTTTGGGGGTTAATTTTGTAATATTTTGGTAACATTTTGGCAAGTTAGCTAGTATAGGCTAGTGGAGTCTTTTTTCTTTGTTTTTTACTGTCTAGATCAAAGAAAGTCATCCATTGAACAAATCTAATGAATTATTTTCCATATTTGCTTTTTGATATTTCTATGATAAGATATGATGCCTACAACATGATGTGATATTAGGCAAGAACTGAACAGTGAAAAATGAACAAGGCTACTGCCAAACATGGTACGACATTTATATAAAAAAGGGGAAAACCCTCCTCCATACTCCATCATACTACAATACTATTTATTTTTGAAGTAAAAGGGGTTTCGGGTTTTACTATTTAACTATGGATTACCATGTGATTAGTAAGATTATGTATTTTAATCAATTGGGTGCTCTAGTCTGAATATATTTTCATCATTCACCAAAGCTGAGTGTTTTCTGTCTGCAGGTTCATCTCTCTGCTGTCGTTCCAACTGTACCAGTAGCTCTGTCGTCGTCTTCAGCCCCCAGATCACAGCAGTCTCCCCCCAAACTGTCTGTCATCTCTAACCCAACAGCTGTCGTCAGTCATCACACAGGTAAGTGGAAATATCTACAACCTGAATACCTAACTAATAACTTTGTTACATTTTTAACCATTGTTACTAGTTCTGAAGTTGGTACATCCTTTTTCTTTTTTTTATACCTTCAATACCAAAATAATTGGTTCCAGGTCAGCAAACAGTTCCACCCTTCTTCCACGTTTCATCCACACAAAGTGTTCCTGTGTCTGTGAATCCTGCTCTAACAGTCCCAGGTGAGGGTGTGTTACTTACAGCCTGACACTCCAGTCATTATTGCCCTGTAGCTAACCCAGCAGCTCTGCTAACATCACATGTCAATGTTTGAACAGCCTCAGTGCCTACACCTGCAGGTCTTCAACGTTTGCCAAACTTCAACGCCTCTGGGCCAAACTCAAGCCAAACATTTCCAGGCAAAGTAGGATTCCAACATCCAGGTATTTTACAAAAAAAAAACATTAAGATCTAGATCAAATTATTTTGGTGTTGGAGACTGATGTCTCGTGTGATATTCCCCGCAGGTCATCCGATGGTTCCTTCTCTCAACCTCCCTAATATGATCACTGGTGTCACTCTGCCTCCTACCAACTATGCTCATCAACCTATGGTTACTAACACTGTTTTTGCTTCCACAGCCATTTCCACTGTCCAACAGAGCAGAGCACTTACCAGAACCTCAGCCCCATCATCGGTGTCCTCCTCTGAATCAGTTAATATCCCAATGACGGCGGAAACATCCCAGTAACTCAAAAAGTTTTTTTTTGTTTTTTAAAGACGCTATTGTCGCTCATTTTTAATGGACCACAAAAAGTGTTTGGTGGTTTCTTGTTCATCTTCAGGGATGCTGTCCTGTATTTGTATTTTGTCTTTGCCTGTCTTTTGTAAGCGGTCCCAACATTTCTAGACAGAGGTCGGCTGGCCCGTTAAACACAGACCAAGGCATAGGGACAGGATCAGGATATTATAAAATATTTTCATTATAAAATCAAATGTATTGTGTTGAAATTTCAAATTTGTTATTTATTTAATAGACCATCAGGTGTTTTGACACAGGCTTTTTACGTGCATTTCTTAAGTCCACTGAGTCAAGCTACTGCTGAAAGGTTAATGTATTTTATATTTTGTGGTAAAACAGTGACCAATTTACAGGATTAGTGTCAAGACCACATGACTTTGACATGGACTTCAACATTTTTGTTAAATTTCTATGGTCAGCTTCTTTGAGGAGTCTATCAGCAGCACAAGGTAACAATTAGCTTCTGTATTATTTATAGATTTTTGCACCAAAGCTCCAGTTTTTAGATGCTGAGATTATAATACTTTGACATTACACCATCCACACAGAGTAATGTTAGTCACTGAATTTAAATTAACAGGACAAAAGGCCATGCAGTTTGTCAAAGGCAAACATTTTCTGAAGCTTTTACTGAAATATAATTATTGAAGTCTTTTTAAGAGTGTTATATGGGGAAACAAGGTTGAAGTGCTTCTGCATTTGTCTTTAAGGGTTAAATTATTTTCTTTTTTTTACATGCCAGTGAGAAATTTAAAGTAAAAGGTGTGTTGGTGATATGACAGATTTCACTTTGTACAAGTAAGTGTCATTAAAACAATGTATCTTTTCTACTTCAGTTTTAATATTTTTTCCCACGGCTTCCACTGGAGGAAAATGCCCAATACTGTTCGGAACTGCAGGAGAAACCCACAGGATGTTGGTATAATACAACAAACTGCAAGTGTTCAGAGGGAGAAAAGATTTCCTGGCGTTTATTATTCACTCTCAGCAGAACTGTACAATTTAAAGTGGAACATACAGCCCTTGAAAAAGTAAGAGCAACAAAGCGGCAAAAATGAAACCACACCAGGAAACTAGTTTAACATTATGGGTTGAATTTTAGGTATCTGTATATGTTACTGCTGCAACTCAAAAAAAATTAAATTTCACCTGTACAGCATATACAGTTACCAATCTTCAGTTATTATTCCTGCATAGGATTTTATACATTTTTCTACATTTGGTTACTTTGTGCATTAAATGTAAGTTTGCTTCCCCGACCTACGTGTCACTAGATGCCACTTGTATGCTACACATTACATTCCCTTGGCTAAGAAACTCAAATGAAAGCCTAAAACTTGGTGGGGAAAAACAAACATAGAAGCCAAATGAACGGTGAAATTTTTGTACTTCTACTTAAACAATGACTCCTCACAGTATAATAGTTTTTTTTTTAACTTCTAGCAGCTGAATCATTTGCACCCTGGCAGGACCATGTTATTCAATCCTAACAGTGGGCTGCCAAGTTCCCTTCGGCTCTTTAAGGCTTTATCCGTCTGAAGTGTCTGAACAGAGTGTACAGACACATTTTCTTCAAGGTACGTTGTCAGTTTCAGTGCTTTTCATCGGATCCTTAAAAGATCCTTTAATCCATGTCCTTACAAAAAACAAAACAAGAAAAACATATTGTCCATTCATCCAGTCTTGGTTTAGAAAATGAAGCCTGTTCCGGTGAGTTTTCCTCACTTGCATTCTGCTCCTCCTCTTGTCTTTTTGTTGCTTATCTTACAAGCTGTAGCCTCTAGAGGGTGCTGCAAGCTTAAGAAGCAACTCGGGTCTGTGTGCCTTTTCTTTTTCAGTTCAACACAATCAGTATGACATGATGCTGGAGGATGCCAGTCCTGTGCCAGCAGCATTGGCCTGCAGATTTCCAGAGGAGCTTGACCTTCGTATGTGAGGGAGAAGGTAAGGGTCACTTCCAAGCTGAAGGACATCAACGCGGTCCTCCTTCCTGTAGGCCAGGCACCGCCTTATGAAGGCCTAAAGTGGGTAAATGTAACAATTAAAGGTTATGTTTGGTGTTCAACTCCATTATTTATTCATAATTTGTAGAGAAGTACATAGGAACATTTTTAAATGTACCTTTGCTTCATTACTAGCAACTGGTTTGACAGGAAACTGGACATCTGTAGCTTTGAGAATGGTGTTCTCCTGCAGGATGTCCTGCTGTGATTGGTTATGGCCAAAAGGCTAAAAAGGAAAACAGTTATGAGTCAACAGGAAATGCTATGGGAAAAACAACTCCCCATCTGCCTCCTCCTTACCTTCCTACCATACAGACACTGGAAAAAGATGACACCAACGGACCACACATCCACCTTGTTGGAGATCTTCGGAGGTTCCTTACCAACCACAAAGCATTCAGGAGGCAAGTACCTGGTCAGAGTGACAAGATATTGTTTAGTTACTACCTCTGTTAGTTTCTAACTCTATATATCTATATATATATATAGATATATAGACTACTAGCTTAATACTACGAAGAAATATAAATGTGACAAACTTGTGCTATCACTTTTCATGCTCTTTCCTGTTTTAATTTTTTTTTTTTTAACCACAACTAGAATGGGAGAATATGTTACAGTGATTATATGTAAAGCTACCCACAGTGTAATAGAAAACTGACCACAGTCAATAGATGGGTCAATAATCTGGTGGCAATAATGCAATCATACACACACAGAAGTAGTGAGGGCAGAGTAAAGGGGCTAAAAGACATCCTCGGGGAACAGTAATGGATGAGACCAGTGTTACAGTCACCAGGGCAGAAAGGCTTAACCTCAGCTTGTGCTGCTAGGACCAACCACCAGGGTTAACCTCAGAGGGAAATTGTTTAAAAACTTTAATATATTTATTTGAAGCAATAACGTTGCACTAAATACAATGACAAAGCATTTAACCTGCTCATAGCGCCCCTTGTGGAACAGTGGGGAAGGGCAGTTGGGTACATCCTGTGTATATACCCAAATTAAACTCAAAATCCTATTTTAACAGAACATTTAGTGTCTTCTTTGAACATGTCATTCACCGTATCATTGATCATTTCTTCTTACCAATACGTGCCTGCTCCCTGTGAGGTCAGGTCCATTCCATCCACACCATAGTTGTCGTCATCCATGATCTTAGACAAACCAAAGTCAGTGATTTTGATCTCGCCACAGGCTATTCCGTCCACCAACAAGATATTACCTGGAAGTCAAAACACAGTGAGTCAGAATGTGGTAAGAGGGGCATGTATCCACTTTCACTTTGTTCAAAGGAGTACATGTACCTGGCTTGAGGTCATAATGGATAATGGGGGGTTTTATTTCATTCAGGTATTTTAGTGCATTGACAATCTGCATGACTATGGACCGGGCCTCCTTCTCAGACATTAGCTTATGCTGCTTCAAGTAGAAATCCAAGTCGTTGCCTTCGCAGTACTCCATGACCGTGCAAAATCTATTGTTCAGAGAGAGAGAGAGAGAGAGCAGAGCAGTTAGAGTTACATGTTTCCATGTGGAAATTACAATGAAGGCCAAAAAAAGAAAAGGCTAGTGATTTACGTGTCTGTGTCCAGTGAAAAGTAGTCATAAAGTTTCACGATTCGAGGATGGTCCAGCTCCTTGTGTATTCTGTACTCTCTACATGCATGCCTGTGGACAGTATTTCAATAACTAATTAAAAACATTCAGCCAAAACCTCAGGTTAAAAATATATGATTAACTAAGACTTACTTATGATAGTTCTCCTTTTTCTCTTCTCGCCAGTTCTTGTTCAGTTGGTGGATTTTTACAGCAGCGTAACGTTGCTCAATTAAGTCAAAAGCCTGTGAAAATAACACAAACATGGTTGTTGTTTTTTTCTTGGATGAAAGACATCAGTTTATATACTTTCCCTGCAATTGAAACACGACAGCCTTCAATAAACCTACCTTGTAAACCTCACTGAAGCCTCCCCTACCCAGAAGATGTAGGAGCAGATACCGTTCATTCAATGTGGGATGATCTTTAAATCTGTAGAGTTACAAAAAAATAAATAAATCTTTAAAACCAAAACCAATTGCAACATTACTTCATCATTTCCAGATTCTTGATTAAAACGCTGGAAGTTTTGAGTTCATGGAGTTCAAGTGTCAAAGCAGTGCATGTCAAAAGTAACCAACTCAGACTTACTGTGAACTGTCTTCATTATTTATTCTCTTCAGTTCCCGAATGTGGAGGTTGCGCACCCCCAGACGCTCCAGCTCCGCCTGGATCTCAGCTTCCTCCTATGAATGATTCAAACACACAAAGGCACAGAGGAAAACTTCTGAGTGCTGACTACAAGGAGCAGATCATCAAATCCTATGTGTGCACATCTGAACAAGTCTGAATGAAATATTAATGTGTGACTCCGGTCACACTCAGCTTCAGCTTATTTATGAAGAAAACAATGCGGTGAGTATCAGCAAACTACACAATAATAGTGGTTTCCCTGGAGACAGACTGGAAATTGTAAATTTTAGGCCCTCTCAACTAATGTGCCAACTATTTAAAATAACTGAATATCTTGAATATTCTTTAGTTCGCAATTGATATCAGTGCCAAGAACATGAGAAGTTTCAGCCCCTTTAGCTAACAATGAGACAAGCATACAGTGCAGACACTCTTTGGTGTAAAACAACATACTTTGTTGTGCTTGTTTGTTGACAAACCTTTTTTAAATGGCCAAGTCTCAACTTGAAGATCTCCTCCTGTTCGTGGTACTCTGCTAGTGTCAGCCTTTCCAGAAACAAATAGAAGTAAAACCAGATGAACCTTTATCTACTTCAAAAAGTGATATACATACTCTAAGTTCTTAGTCTGGAACTTACAGCTGAGGTAGGCTGGGTTTTACAAAGGGATCACTTTCTGCTCCATTCACTGCCTTGGTTTTGCGTTGCTTTGGCTCCGAGTTTGTGGTTGGTGTTTGGGAGTTGCTGGAGGTTGGAGGTTTTCTCTTGGCCAGGAGTTTTCTTTGCCTCTCAATGTCTTCTCTCTGTTGGTTGATCCACTCTTGTTGTCTATTGGGGGGCAAATAGTAGTGGGTTAGACTAGAATCGTTGTGGTTTTCATTTGTTGCCCTTCCTAACACAGCCCTTTACATGTATTTGGTTATGGAACCAGATCTTGTTACCTGGGTGACATGTTGTATTTTGGTAGTCATGAAATCTGAACTTCATGTTTTAGAGAAAAAAATAACCAACACAACTGTTGAAGCTTTGGCTTTACACCCTTTAACAGCCAGAAAAGAACAGTGGTCAATTTGTGTGCATTATTAACCATGTGATGGGCTGCACTGAGCCAACGTTTGTATATGATTTCTTAAGCAATGTACACAGTCACATGAAGTGCATGAGTCACACACACACACACACACACACACACACACACACACACATAAATGTGTTCATGTTTAACAAACAGAAACAGGCTGTACACTAATCTACAGATTTTAGTTTGGTGTACAGTGTTGTTTTTACCAATTCATAATTTCAGTCACAGACTTTTTTCTAAGATGAAAACTAAACAAGAACTGAATCTGAAGTCAAAGTGATGACGAAAGATCCATTAGCTAACTTTATCTATAAAACATTTACAACTCCATAAAGAGAACCGTGGAATGACAAAGACACTTACTTGACAAGGTTTTGAAAGGCAAAGCCATCTGTCCACTGTTCTGTGAACGAGGCTCCGTGTCTCACTGTAGTGAAATGGCCTAAACGTAGCCTATCTTGCATGCTCTTCTCCCGGCAGGCCTGCTTCTCTTGATTGCTCTGTACAATGAGATTAAAACTAGATGTTAAACCAAACTCACATCTGTATGAATGAATAGTTTGTACAGAATGAAAAAAAGAAAGAAAAAAAAATACCTTCTCTATCAGCAGCTTCTTGCTCATGGTGATGCATTTATTCAAGCGTTCCTTGAACTTTTCAAGTAGTTTTTGTTGTTCGTCTATCTGTCTCCTGAGATCACAGTTTGCCTATGAAACAGGAAAAGCAGTCAGAGGCGTCTCTTTTGGGGTAATTTTTTTTAAGTAAATGTAAACGTTTGTATACGTTGAGATGATTTCTTCTTACCCTTAATAAATCATCTATTCTACCCTCCTTCTTCTCAAGGTCTAAATTCTTAGTGCTTTCAAGGGCAGCCAACTTCAACACTGTAAGGTCGGTCTGCAGCAGGAGACAATAAATGAGGTAGAGCCAAAAAAAAACCCAAAATAACATGCCATGTAATAACTTAAACTAGCAAGACTTGTAAAAGTTAAGCTGTATTTTGTTGTTGTTGTTTAAAGTACTACCTGAACAAATTTCACTGCCAGTTGCTTTGGATGCATCACGTGGTCCCCGAAAGACAGACTAGTAGGAGATGAGCTGTTTTGTCTAACCTGTAACAGGAAGAATACAATCTCTTTAACATCAGAAGTAGAGGATTTTTAAATTCCATTTAAGTCTACTGCCTCCAAACTTAATACAAAGCTTGTGTTTTTGGTGACAGGGTTTGGTTCAGAGGCGTTGGATGAGGTTTAATAAAGGAAATCCCTCAGTTTTTGACATTATTTCCCAATATCAAAAGTCAACAAATGCTTTCAACAAGAAAAACATGAGAACATCTGGATCAACATCAGTCACCCATGTCCAACCTGGACTTAGGCATAAACAATCAGAATATAAAGAAAAATATAGCTCAAAGCTTGACCAAAAAAAAAGGCTAAAGGGTAGACGAGACTTACAGCCAAGCCCTGAGTGGAGTAGGAATGTGAGTTCTGGGGCGAGCGAATCACTGGTGGGAGACCTCTGACAGGACTGGACCCATTCCCTCCCTGAAACTTAAATTAAAAAAGACAAAACAATTATTAAATAAAATGATTATGATAATGATCACTAAACTGAACTTGATGAAAAGACAGAAAACTTACATCAAAGTAATCACTTATTTTGGGTCCTCGTACAATTGATTTTCCTGTATTGGGAAATAAACAAAGTGTTGTTATGCATTGCTAATATGTAGTTAGAATAAAGCAACGTAATATGTTTATCACAAACACTCACCTTGGCTGCTCTCTGACTGGAGCTCTGGTTTCCTCTTTCGCCCTCTTGTTGTTTCAGACTGTTTCTTCTCAGGGGTCTGGAACAGAAAATAATTCAGTCATCACCTGGAATCTAGACATCATGAAGGATTAAGCTGCCGCTCTATAATTTTAAATCATTACACTCAATGTGCTGTAGAGGATCTGTTTGTGAAAGAATATGTGATAATTAATTTTAATTTTGGTAAAGCAAAAATTAGCCGCTGTCTGCAGTTTTACCTGCAGTAAGGTGTGTAGTGCATTACAGAAACAAAATGGTCTAAAACAACAACAATATTTCTTTATAATATAATGGTTTTATGACGCTACATTCTTAAAATATGTCATCATACACCTACCGAATAAGCAGGAGAACTGCCTCTTTTCACATCAGATCCCTGTTAAGTAAAAAAAAAGCTGATTTATAAGCAATATTAAAGTACGGGTTTTATTATTTTCCATAGACTGTCAATGACTGGTAAACTGGTTACTGATTTGACTTACACATAGTATAAATATCATTTGGATAATAAGTTAACCTTCCTGGATTTGTACTCTTCCTGATTGAATATAGCCTATATAATTTTCTCATTTGAAGTAAACAAAGATGGTTACTTCTAAACTCAACACAAAACTTTCAGTTCTTCCCATCAACAACAGCCTGCTAACTCTAATTCTTTCTAATTTACAATCAAAAGGCAAGGCTGCTGAATTGGAACCCTGTCACAGAAAAAAAAAAAAAAAAACAAGTCTGGAATTAAGTGTTTGTGGCAAACCACTGCTGATTTCCTGTCTCCCAACAGAGGAACCCAAACCAGCTGTACAGCATGAGGTAATAACATGTATCTAAGATAAAATGTAATAAATGTATTCTATTACTTAATAAATGGGAGAGCAGGCCACTCTGGAAACACAGCAGTCAAACTGAACATGACATTCTAGTCTTTACCTCTGACTCTTTGTCGCTCGAAGATCCAAGGCTTCCAAAACTGTGATTGGAACATTCATTATTTGTCAAACCCTAAGACGCAAAACGATACAAGAAAACATTTAAGGTGCCATTTTGTATAATTTGCATCTTCGCTTTGCATCTCGAAAACATGACCATGCAGCTTAGCACACTCACTTTGGTTCCCCCGCTTGTGCTGCCTGTGCTGCCCCCTGTGCTGCCGCTGACCCCGCCCATGAAGCGTGCCTCCAGCAGCTCCTGTCTCCGGGGGTCCAGGCTGTGCAGCTCCTCCATGGTGCCTACAACGGTTTTTAGAAATTCAGTTTGGCTCAGTTATTTCAAAGGAAGCTTAATTAAAGGCACTTGGAAACATTCAGTTAGGTTTGAGAGCACAGCTGTGACCAACATAAACAGCAAACCATGATAGGTGTTTATGCTACGTTAGTCTCATACGAGTATATGGGACAGCACTGGATATACTGTATGCCAATTCCCCAAAGGTATTCTGAGGACAGGGTTCACTCTCCATTTTGTAGCAGATTAATAATTTCTCACATTGTTTCCTTGACAGCACGTCCAGATTTGCAACTATTGCCATCACACCTATTCCAGTGAAAGTTAAAACACAATGATACTGCAAAAATCCAGAGGATGAGTAACCTTAAGGTTGATATCAGACATTCTGTGCTACAAATGCCATTATCGAGAGAACACAAGAGCAATGTGTCAACTGCTAGACTGGGATGAATACTGCGCTCCTGTGGGAATGTTACATGAGCTCCCTGGGCTTCAGTGTTGCAGCAGCCTCACAGGGGTCTGCCTGCAAACCTGTGCTTTAATGAGACAGCCATTTTGAATTGCTACAGTTGCAATGGAGCATATACAAAGGGAAAGGATTGTTAAATATGTGACAGGAAGAGAAAGAATAACTGAATCAGTTCTACTTAAACCTGATTCCTTTGGAATATTGTAGCATACAGCTACAGTAACAGATGCTGCATATGCATCTGCACAAATACATTATCATTAACTAGCCAGACCATATACGTCATAAAACAATAATACATGTGTACCTTTAATGAGGGTAGTATAGCTTATGTATACAATAGCTACATCTGCAAAAAGTAGTGGACAAAAACTAATTTGTAGTATTTGTATAATGATTTCCTATTTTTTAGAACAGGTTTTGGAAAATATGAGCATGTAAGGTTTTTCAAGTTTAATTTGAATTTTGCAAACAGAATGACAAGTCAACAGGTCTTGCAAATTATTATAGTCATAAGCCCTGCAAATGTCAATATATGACTGATACTTCAAGTGTTTAATCGTAACGTCAACAAAGCAAACATTAGATGCATTCATTGAATACTTTTAGCTGTTAAAATTCTTCAACTATAAAATCAAAAACAAAATGTTATTATAAAGAATTTCTTTAAGTAATGCAATTGTATTTTCGTCAGTTTCACATCTACTGCCTTTCATCTGCCATGACTTTCATAATGATTTGCCCCCCCCTTTTTTCCCCTCAATCACAAAGGCCTCAGAGCACAACTGTTATCTATATCCAAGCCACTGCAGGAGCAGGTGGTTCAACCCTTACAACTCTCGCTGTGAATGTCATTTTGACTCTATGCTGCTCGGCCCAGAGACCACCTGTTTATGGCAGACACTTGGTAAGTCTCAGAAACCGGGATAAGATGAGTTGGATTACATCAGCCTAAACTCAATAAAAGGAAACCAACCTTAAACCACAATATACTCACAAATGTTTGGTTTTTTTTCTTTGTTTGTTTTTTTTTTTTTTTACAAATGTCATATTGATGCTGGCAAACATTTCCAGTTGATATTCATTGTGACAATTCACAGAAATGCAAAGGTTACTTAAATTAGATAAACACATTTATACCCTGTTGGAAATGCCAAGGATGCAAAAAGGCTCAACTAAAATAAGTGACAACCACAATTGGCTTCCATTAAATTGACCAAATACCCATCAGCTGTGTTAGCTCACTGTACAATCACCAGTAGCAGCAGCCTGTGTCCCTCAAGTTTTCCTTCAGTTTATTTGTTGTGGAATGTTGCCTTGTATCAACTCGTTGCTCATTAAATGAGTGATACTAAAAAGGTCAAACTAGACCAGCTACCATTTAAAGCTTCTGCATTTTCTGTTAATAGCTTTGTTGAAATAACATTCACATGGAAATGCAAAATATATTTTGCATTAATAAAATGTTTTTTTTTAAAACCCATAGGAGATTTTAATAGATGATGGTGTATGTTTTGTACAGGACATGAAATTGTGTTAGCTCCTAAAATGTCTAGTTTATTTGCTCATGTATTTATATCATGTGTATAATATGTACTTGATAAGGTACCTTGCCTATATTTTAGTGTAGTGTAGTCTATAGTGTAGTGTTGGTCAGGTAAGGCTCCAGAATGAAGGGTTTATATTACAAGCAAAAATTAAGGAGATAAGAGAGTCCGTCTTAAATGTATTTTTTAGCAGATTACACAATGCTGGGTTGTTTAAATTCTCAAATCTGCCATTTTGTATTTCAATCTGGAGCTAGACTTTTTTGATATACATCAATGTAACTACTGTCATTTGATAACGCCAAGTATTACACGGGGTGTCATTCATTCTTAAGCCCTATGAATGAGGGGTCTGTTTAGAACCTAAAGGGAAAAAAAAACTAGCACTGACATTTTTTCATGTTTCACTTTTTTTTTTGTGGAATCTCTTTACCAATTGTTATTACCGCTGAGGAGCAGTGCTTAGATGTTGTGTAGAGTTGGACACCTCCAAATCATTGTGCATATTGCTCTGCAAGTGTTGCTATGTGTTGTATTAGTACAGCACAGGGGTCTATATGAAACATAGGAAGGACACAATATAATCTGAAAGCATCTCGTTATATGCACAAAATAAAAACAAGAAAAACATAGACTGGGGGTAGCATCAGTGCCAATGAATGCAGCACCATGTGTTCCTTATAATCCATTCAAAATGACTGAGGAAATTGATTTAGTGATTTGATAGGCACTCTAAAACAATTATTGCATCCAATACGTTTTTTAAAATGATAAATTGAGATTAAGTTTAAGTAATCGTGATAGCTCTGTGTGACAGTTTAGTTTAGGTGTAATATACTGTCCCGTATGCAGCGAAAAGCTCCCAAAAACGATGAGTGCAGACATGCAAATTGCACGTAAAATGACTTTGCACAAGGATGATGAGTAAAATGCACACCTATACAATGCCGGTGATTGTTACAACATTAGCATAATCAGAAATCGTCTAATTTGCTTGATTGTTCATATTGATTATAACCCAACGTCCCTGAGTAACTTAACTAGTGATTGGTCTTCCAACAGCTGCGTGCTTGTAGAAAGATGCGCTGACTTTAAGCGGTTACCTTTACTGCACTTTACCAAAGCTCTGTCGCCATTGTTCACGTATTCGTCCTAAGGTTAATAAGCCAGTGGCCTGGACTTACACAAAAAGACAGTCCTGCGTCTCCGGTGCTAGGAGCTAAACCAAACAGGCTCAATGGACTTTGGAGCTGTAATGCTAGCTAGCAAACCAGCTTTCGCCTCGTATAAAGTAAACGTTTTTTAAACGCATTTCCTTTTCACAATGCAAAAAATAAATTATACGACCAAGTAGACAAAGGGTGGAAGCGTCTGAAAATGTTGGACGGTACCTTCCCCGGCCTTCAGCAGTGCCGTGGTGTGTTGCTGAAAACACGGTCCGTGTTGGGGACGTGGAGAGCTGGGACCAAAGATGGCGTCCCCTCCAAACTTCCACTACTTTGGACACTCATCAAGCTACTTTCCGTGTGTAAGTTATGACAGCGCATACGGTTATTCCTTCACGGCGGATGTGATATTGACCCCGATTTTCGATGCAAGGTTGTTCTTAAGGTGCTGCAGCGTCTGGCACTGAGTGTAATTGAAAATATTTTGTGTTAAAGAACACAAACCTTTCCACACCTTCAGCAGCAGATTGTGGCTGCGGGCTCCGGGGACACGACACCTCTGCTCTCCGTGTCTTCAGTGCGTTCTCTATGAAACGTCACGCATCGTGTGCAAAAAAAAAAAAAAAAAAAAAAATCCTAGGGCTGCTAAGTGTTTTATCTCCAGGAAAATTACGACTTGTAAAAAAAAAAAAAAGAAAAAAATTATTTAAAAAAAACAGCGAATTAGTTGAATACACCAGATCACATTTCGAAATTCATAGCAAGAAAAGGAATTTAAAATAGATACCGCTAATTAACGTTGTATTTTTTCCATTAAAAGTCTTATTTATATTGAAGGTATGGTTTTGAAATAGCATAAAAATATTTTTATGAACAACGAAATGACTTCAACAACTTCTACCGATTATTATACAATTATAAGAAAGTCTTTGGTATATTAAAAAGAAGTTTAGAAGGATGGTTTTAGGTCCCTGTGAAAAGAAAATTAGGAAAAGACAAAGAGCAATTAAAGGAGAATGTCTATCATATTGTAAAGTTATAATTTTTAAACTCTGTTCTCATAAACGTACTATATTTCTGATATTTTGTTGTTGTGTTTCACCTTCCCTTAATGAAGCCAAAATACTTAATTCATCTGCTGTATGTAAAGTGGGAACTTTATTTTAAAAGTTTACCAGAAATTGATAGAAATCCATCAGCCTCTGTCATTTTTTTCAACAGTAAACTAAGTAAAATATAAAGTTTATGTTAGATTGTGTAACATACTTTATATATGTTGCACACACTCCTGGAAAAGTTAGTACACATTACAAAGGAAGTGTACACAATGCAAATCCATAGTTACTGCAAAGTGTTTCTATATAAATATAAATAGTTTAAAAACAAACAACAGATATAGGCTCCAAAAAGGTTGGGAAAGAGGTAACTTAATGACCTTGTCATCACCGTATCTCCTAGTAGTGTCCTGTTTAATGATTTGTTAACTGGGGATACTGATTGTTACAGCTTTTCTTGCAGATTCCCCCCTCACCCACCCGTTCTTGCTCTTGTAAAACTTCACCTGCCCAATAGTACATGTTCATTATTGTCTAATGGTCATATTTGTGATGTCCTAGATATTTTAAACAGAGATGGACTGCACTTCTCCAAAAAGGACGCCATCTAGATGTCTTCCTGAAATTTAAACGTAAGCATTTCCATCATTCTGCAATCAGTCTTCTTTTATTTTGGTATTTTTCTCCCTAAAGAAATTAAAATAGACTCGTATGACCAAAAACTGGAGTTCAGACCATCCAATCAAATTATTTGGCTGGTCTGTAAAATTTGATTGGTATGTCTGCATATACAGTGATACCTCCGTTTCAAACTTGAAGGCCGTTCATGGACCGAAAAGTTCAAAAACTGAAACAATTTTCTCCATAGAAATCAATGTAAAATGGATGAGTACGGCCTGGACCCTGGGTGATGTTCAAAATGCCTGTTTGTTTCATGGATCAGAAAAAATATTTTATGGATCAAACACTATACAGATTTTAATAAATATAGTAATCTTCAGTTTGTACAACAACTAAACAAATTAGTGTTGTAAGAGCTTTATTAAAAACAGTTATACATCTCAGCATCTTTGGTAAAAAAATAACCAGTCCAAAAATTGTCAATGTTGCAGTGTTAAGGTGGTAGTGGTGGAAATGGTCTCCTGTACTTGCTCTGCATCCAAACACGGTGCATTGCAACTTTTTTCCCTCTGTTTACTTGTAGCCGCCTGTCCTCCAGGTTCTGAATTTCCTCTAGTCCAGCTTTGGAAAATAAATTATGAACCTCTTCTGTAAAAATAACAGAAAGCACAGACATCAGGGCCGTGTAGACGTAAGCTCTATATACAGTATATATCAGTAGTACCTTTGGTGAAAAAATAAACACAGGTTCCATCTCCACGAGTGTAGAAGTTCTCTGACAGGCACCGTCCTGATAGTGATTAAAATATTTTTAATTATTATAAAACTCTTATTACACCAAATAAATAAAGACCTTAGTGCTTCAGAATTTTATTTTGAAGCTCACCCTTCTTGAACCTTAGCTGTGAGAGGTCATATCTTCCATAATCACGAAAAAGGAATATTCCTCCATGTTTCAGATATGTAGATAGTGTGTTTACGACTCCTTGTAGTCTGCCAATAAAATATATCAGTGCCTATAAGTATTGCATTGACCCCCATTTAAAGTTTAGACCACACAGATTTGTTTGTATTAGTTCACTGAATCAAATCTACTCAAATAGCCTGTTCACAGTGGCGTTCCTCTGTACTTGTGGTGTCAGCTGATATATTCCATTACACAACACGTATGGTTTATATAACACTGAACAATGCTTTATAAAAAGGAGGTGAGTTGGAGAGAAACAAATGCCATAAGAATTCTTTTATCTTTATGTTGTAACCTTCACCCACCGCACTGGATGAATAGAAGAGAGCACAAAGACGGCAAGAACAACATCCAGGCTTTGAGGGGGGAAAGGAAAGGAGGCCTTTTCCTCGCAAATGTCATGGACAAAGGCGTGGCACACAGAGTCATCGTAGTCTTGATGGTTCTATAGAAGTAAAATGAAGTATATTCTGTTAAAAACAAAGCTATTATCCAGGTTAAATGCGAGATTCTGAAAGAGAAGACATTTCTTTATCATTTGCTACATGGCATTTTTGTCTCTGTGACCATGACCTTTGTACGTCTTCTGTTGTAAAAAAAAAATTAAAACAAATAGATTATTGCACAACCAGTAATCTGGACTATCTGGTGTATCAGATGGTATTTGGTCAAACTATTGTTTAGACATTTTTTGTTGTTTAGACATTGTGTAGACAAGACTACAGAATATTTTGGTTTATTTTAAAACATAGACATGACATTTGTTTAATGGGAAATGCTTTTTAACTGGAGGTTACACTATAACCTCCAGTTAAAAAGTAGGCCACAAATGCATGGCCTAGTAGTCATCTGGACTGGGGAAATATTTAGAGCGATCTGAGGATAAGATTTATAAAAAAGACTAATATTACAGGCTCATAAAAATGTACACTTTATTTGACTTGTTATCAACAAACTACAAAAAGTACTCACCTTTACCATCTCAATGGCACAGGAGGAGAAGTCACAACAGTATAAGAACGCATCGCTTTCTCTGTAACACAGGGATCTAGAGGTTATTTTTCTTTAATTGTCAACTTGCATCTATAAAAATATTTTATGGGATTTATAGAATATATATATATATATATATATATATATATATATATCATGGAACAGATTTGTTAAATGTTGTTTATAAAGGTATAATATAAAAGGTATAAAGTTATAAAGGTACTCCTTAAATACCACAACTTTTTTTCTCTTAGTTGTGATCACAGATCATTTAAGATGTAATAGATTGGGTTTCATTAATTTCCAATTAAATCAAAAGATAATTTTGTTATAAAAGCAGAAATTTAAGCCATCATCTGTGAATTCTAAACATTTAATGCTAAGACTTACAATAACATTAAAGCTCTTTAATATTAAATGCTTAGGAAGAAAAATATATCACAATTTTGCTTTTTGGAAACTGTTGTGTACTGACAAGTGAATAACACTAAAGTTAAGTAACAAACTGCACTTGTAAATAACAAGTAATACGCTTACTTTATGGATTTTATTATAGGGAATACACTGTTTCCTACCCCACAGCCAACCTGTGAAAAAACAACAAAAACTGTTGTTAAAGCAATGATCTATAAAACTGGTTAACAAGAGTTCTTTTATCTAGGGTTGCCATCTGAAGTTCTTTGAGATTCATAACAACATTGTGTGTCAACAACATTAAGTGTCCTGAGGTTTGCAAAAATGTGCATAAATCGTTGAGAGCTTTTATATGATGCCAAATTAAAGTAAAATAACATTTATGCTTTATGGTTAAATCAATAAGAGAACACCATATAATGAAAAAAAAAGTTTAAAAAATGTAATATGTTAAGGTATTTAAAAACCTCTAAGATCCTGAAAGGTGCATGTTGTCCAGGGAAAGCAGAATTCTGCAGGACATCTTCATTTGTTTTCATCGATACTTCTTGATAGGATGTGTCAGGAATGTGTTTGGAACTGATGGCACTTTGTTGATGGAGACTGGTCTCTAAATCAGGGCAGGATCTACCAGACAGACACGTTTCAGTCTGGTGATCACTTTTAGGTATGCTCTTATTGTGGCTGTTTGAAGAAAGCAGTTCTGGAAACTCCAGAAACAGCCAATGTCGATCTTTGAAGAACTTATTCTGGTGCCTTTCATAAAACTTGTCCCAATAGCAGTGAGCGTCAGTGTCAAATTTACCTGAATCAGCGAACGAAAGGCAATGAAAGTTATCCTTTTCTGCCACCATAAACCAATCAAGTTTATTTATACTTATATTGTTTGACTTATCTCCCACCAATGCTTTTACTTGCCTTGTTCTGTTATAGGAATTTTCACACAAGAATTTTCTTGTGCCTTCTGCTTTGCAATTTTTTTCTCCTCTTCAGACCACTGTATATGATCCCTACATTTTGAGGCGTTAAAAACAACAGAAGTGTTAACATTTCTACTTGAGAATCCTAAACAAATGGAAAAAACATATATGCAGTATTTTATACTTTCTTTAATTGTGTTCTAATTGAAATAGGGAGAATACTTAGTGTTGATAAAACAATGCTGGTACAAGCTCACCACATGTTGTGCTTAAAGACATCATCAGGGTTGGTCAGAATGCGTGAACCCAGTGGAGCTGATGGTCTTCCTCCTGTGGTCTTTGGTCTTTTGATAAACCTGTAGACCGCTTTAGCCAAATTGGCTGCAGACAGGCTCCTGATTTTATGCATTGAATCTGTAAAAATACAATAAGTTTTCACAACAAACTAATGTTCTGAGGGGAGACTTTTTCAAGTACAAATCAAGACTTATTAAACCAGAAAATCCTTCTTTCACATTGTAGTGGTGAGGTCTTCTGCCGTAGTAATTTTAAAATATTATTTTCTGCCCTACGGTATAAACAAGGTGATTTTACCTGACCTGAATGCATTACCTTGCTGTGATTAGTTGATTTGATATTTACATAACAAGATACATACTAAATGAAGTGGCAGGAAAGTGTGGGAAGAGGCTGAAATTCCAGGCCGGATGCACTAACTGTTTTATATTTCACCACATTAAGGAGACCACGAGTGTGATCAGATCACATTGATTAGTAGATGTGGTAAAGATGATATATTAGCCAGAGAAAAACTGTAGTTCTTCTTCTCGATTTCAAACTCATGTTATTGTACAGAGTAAACAAGAAACCGGTCAGGCTGCAGAAGGAGCTATCAACAGAATTAAATTATAAATGGATATAGTAAATGAGATGATGGACTGCAGGGACATAATCCAGGAGAAGTGACACAGGAATGCAAAAAGATTATTTCAACAAGAAAGCTTGGTCGAAGAGGTGTTGTATTCACTGATTTGGGACTATACACCACACACTGGGTGGTCTCTGAAACAGAAAAGAAATCCTCCAAGGACAGGTATTTATCTTAAATGTCACAAAATGAATACAATCCCATCTTACCTGACTGTGACTAATGTATTTCAGAAAATTGGGCTGATTATAAGATGAGCTATAATGTTTATTAAAAATACATAATCACAATCTGCCCAAATACTTTATGAAGGATTGCTCACTCCAACTTCTACTAAAAATTAAAGCAGGGCAGAGAAAAATATATATATTAAAACATTTAAAGCACAACAATAACTATGATAATAATAACAATAATAATAATAATAATAATAATAACAACAAAATGCATGGTCGTTAGAAGCTGTCCCTGGTGCATTGGTCACATTTTTGTAACCTGTTTTACTGGGGCTAATACAGCATGGCTGATAACAGAGATTTAGATAGACATATTAAATATAATAGACGGACAAAAAAGTAAAATAGTATCATGCCATATTTTGCCACAGAACAGAAGTAGCAAACATTTTTAGATCTGACATTGTATTGTTGTGTTGCATGAAAACGAAAATGTGCAATGGACCTAAGGGGGGCAGCAGAGCACCATTACCGAGACTACACTGCTACGACTTTAACACACGAAGAAGACGTTTGTCGAGGACAGATTGAGCAGCTATGGGTTTAAATGGCATTTTAGCACCAAAATAGCAGGGTGTTAAGTAACACAACAATATTTTTAATACCATGTGCATTTTTGTACATCACGGAAGCTTAATTACGTTTAGTTGAACAACCGAATACGGACACGTTTGACATTTCAGTTGAAACAAAAAACTTCTTACGGCTATCGCTCGTTCCGGTTTCTGTGGGACATTCTTAATAATAATCCGTTTTTATCATCAATTTCACAGAGACAGATTGCTAGGTAAAACTTACATTTCTACCGGGTGTCGATCGTCTGATTAGTTGCATCCGGCTTTTGCCTCCATCCATGCTCGTCCTCCTGTGAGAAAGAGTCACCAGTTGATGGCGCTGTACCAGAGAAAGAGGAGGTCCGTGAACTGCACTGAGCTGCTCAACCGCAGGAGCACAGGAATCACAGATGTTGGGTCTCTGAACAGACACAACTTGAAGGTGCTCAGAAATATCCTCCTACGGGTAAGAGTTAGCGCAGTGTAATAATGGTCATACTTCTTTTACACATTGTAATTCACCGTTAGTAATTTGCAACTATTTTATTCCGTAGGAAACTAGGCATTTCAAAAAAGTATGGAGCAGGACATCCAAATCCACAATCATGTATGAGAATTGTAAGCTTTACTTTGAAAATTACCTGAAATGCTACAGTTGGTGAGTATCTGCCCAACTATATTGGGTAGCTAGATTATATATTTATATATATTTTTTATTTTTATTATTATATATTGAAAAATAAGATTATTGGACTCAACTGTTTATCTCTCCTCGTGAACTATGCTTTTGAGAATATAATGTGTATACTAGTTTCTAAGGGCATTAATATGGATGTCTACAATTAAGTTTCAAAAGATACTTGGTGTAATTAAACCTTTATAACTCAGTCTCAGATTTTGAGGGGTGTGTTAGCACCTAACAATGCCATGATTATATTAGATTATATACACACAATTGTAACAGCTATGGTAACAAATTAAAATTCACTTTTTTTAAAAAAAAAATCACATTAATATTTGATGTCAGATTTGATGGACAGACAAATGAATAAATGAATCATCTTCATGTTGTGTCTTCCTAAATCAGTATTCCTCCAGAGCCTCAAATCTTGTACAAATTGTCCAAAAGGTCTAAACAAGAGAAATTTGAAGACGCCTTGCTTTGCCAGAGTCCACTTGTAAGTGAGACAGCAGACACACTGTTCATTGTCTGATGTCTCATTTCAATAACCTACAACCTGTCTCTTTGGCAGGACAGGACGTTGGCCTCGTCCTCTGACAGCAGACCAAGCCTCTTGGTCTTGACGGCCAATAACTGGCTTTATCGCCTGTCAGCTGAAACGGGGGAAGAGCTCCAACGAGTGTACCTTTCTTCACACCTCAAGTTTAGGTACATTTCAGACTCAGATGCCTTTACCAAATGGAGAGTTATGTGTTAATTTGAAAATCTTTTTAATTTAGTCATTGTTTATTTTTTTTTCCTTAAGGTACCTTGGTTGGGAAGTTGCCCAGGACACTTTCTATGTGAAGTCAGTACAAAACAAAGAAACACCTTTGCAACGACAGGTGAGGTGAATACATTTGTGTCACAAACTATGGATCTATTATCTATCTTTCTAATTAAAATCTATGTAAAACAATAGATTTGTTTAATTGATAATTTCAATATCAAACAAAGATGGTTGAATGTGTTTATTTAGTTTCTTGTAGTGTAAGTTGGGATCCACCTTCTTGTCTGTTGTTCTGTCCGTAAACAACTGTGACGTAAATACTTGAAAACAGATTGTAACATGAATTTTAATATTTCTATATTTCCACAGGCAGGAATCACTGAAAACACAGTGATGCATCTGGCCATTTTTCACATTTTTCCCTTGCAAATTGTTGGCATGGTGGAAATTAATAAAAAGGTATAGACATGGCCAATATAAACACAGATACATTTTTTCTTAACAGCATGATTTGTTCTGTCGGTGATGACTGTGAATCTTCTTTTAGGTATTTGGGAATGGTGTTACTAATGTTGTGCTGTCCCAAGGCATCCTCGCTGTTTCTTACAGTAACAAGTCTGTGAAGCTCTTCAGCTTTGAGCACATTGTAAATAGGGTTGGTAATTAATCTTGTTTTAATTCCAATAATTACAAAAGAATGTATTCTGCAGTGACAGTCATGCACAATATAAATACAATTATTATTTCTACAAAGGCATCATATTTTAAAAGTTGAATTTTCACATTCACTCCTACTGTAAAGACAACATCCAGACATGTAACATGTAAGGCATGTTAATATAAAACTAAAAGTCTTTTCATTTTTGTTCTCAGTTCATGACAGAGAAGTTGTCACTTGGACATAAAAGTTCTCTTCTGGGAGGAAAAACTGTGGGAGAAGCTCAGAGTGGTATCCCAGTAAATATTCAGATCACAGGTGAGTCTAGTTAAGGTTGGACTGCCTAGATCGGAGTCACAGTTTTTTAGATTGATAGTGTTAAAGTGTTCTCTCGTTTGTGTAATCTTACAGATTGTCCTCCTGTGCTTTTTGAGGTGTCCTGCTCTAATGATGGCGTCCAGATTGGTGGTTACCCGTGGCACTACATCTATACACCACCACATAAGAACCACAGGGGGACTCACCACATCAGTTCACTCAAAGACAGCACTATGGTAAAGCTAAGAAACTGTACTAAGCTCTTGAGTGCTTTTCTGAAAGGAAAGGAATTTTTAATACAGCATAGTAGTATTGCAGTATTTATGCTGCACACAGTTACAATACTTTTTACAGCCTAGTCTTCAGTTTGATATGTAACTTCACAAAAAAATTATATATATATATATATATATAAAGAAATATATATATATTCCTCAGAGTATATATATGTATATATATATATATATAAAATAAAAAAAGATAAATTGCATGCTTAGGTACACTTGTCTATGTGTGACACTACGCAGCAGCTGAATGGCCACCCAGTTAGTGCAACCCTGTTGAAACTGTCAGTGAGGAGAACCACAGATGTTTGTGACAGTCTCTGGATAGAGCTTTTCAAAAGGAGATTTCCAAAGATATTTTCCTGGTGTCACATGCATATACTTTTTTATTATTTTTATAAATAGATATGATCCTACAGGGTTGGTTTATATGTTAGAACATATCAATATTTTGTGTCTGGAGTACAAGTGGAGGTAAAATACTGCTTAAAAGCAAAGTTGTTTTTTTTTAAATGTTATTTTCAAATATCCTGAAAAGTGTATTTTTGGAAGTACCTTGAAACCTGTTGTTGTATACTTCATGTAAATAGGCAACTAATGGAATACAGAATATGAACTGTGTCTCTCTGGAGAGTGATGGGATTTTCTTCCACCCAGACGACTCCGGGAGAATTATCCACATTGGACCTACCACCATAAAGTGAGTCACAATAATATATAAGGCATGTGAATTAATTTATAGGACATTAAGCTACAGTTTTTTAAAATACATAAATTGATACATTTTCTAAAGGTTTCTTTGTTTTTTAAATACATACATGAACATTTGTATTTATTTTCTCTCCAAAGTGTCCTTAAAATCCTCGGTGAATTGAACAGTAGTCTGCCGTCAAAGGTTGTTGTCGATTTCTGTATGAAGACTCTTCGAAACAATCATGTGAGTCAGATGTTTTTTTTTTAAACCTTATAACATGTGCTGAAAAGATTCTGGTTGTAGTAGAAATGCAACACACACACACACCAAAATAAAGTGGTGTGAAATGACTTACTACAGATTTGAAAACAAGAAACAAACTTTGAACACCAACAGCAAAGCCTGATTCTGTACACACTAGCTTCATTGAGAAAGTTTACATTCTTTGAATCCTAACTACCACCTAACTCAAGAAGTACCTGAATACAATCGTTCTAAAATAGTCACCCACAGCAAATATTGTTTCTGTATAAAATTGTATTTAAAATAATTTTAATTTGATCCAATGTTCTCTACCTGTACAGCTGACTTCACAAGTTACGGTCACCTCATCGGGCCGCACAGTGAAAAAGAGATTTCATCAGCTGGACGATGACCCAGAACAAGAAGTATGATAGTCATTTTATTCAAATTAAAATTATTGTCCAAGTTCACTATACAGTACAAATTCTATACTGCATAAGGGAGCTCACCCAGGCCTCAGTACTGCTGTTGATTTATCTTTATTTTACTTGATCTTTAGACATTCCGTATGGTAGAATTTGAGGACGAACTGGACCTGCTGGCAGTGGTTGTATCTAACAGTGACGAAGGAGAAGGACGGGCTCACATCCGACTACATGACAACCAGAGTGGACATTTGGAGCGCACAATCAATCTACTTGAACCTTGGGACGAGGTGCGGAACAATTAATACCACACAGCCGTTCTGATGTTACCACGTGTGGGAAATAAATTTGTGATCTCAATGTTTCTTTACAGACTTATCGACATGAATTGTTCTTCGACCAGGATACAATTGTTCATATTGAACAACAGAATTCCAACTTCTGCTGCCACGTGTATAAACTCAGGGACGATAAGATGTCCTTGTTGTGTTGGGTTCAATGATTCAATTTATTTATTTTTATACTGAAGTTATTTTTTAAATGTTTTTCTACATTCTGTTTTACACTATATTCATTTTTTCTTAAAATAAAATATTTTTTACAAATTACTTTGTTTATCTGCTTGAATTCCTTGATAGCACATACATCCCTTAAAAGAAACAGCACAAGTGCTATACAATAATATCAAAACATGCATACTTTTAATCTGAAGATACTTCGACCAGTGGAATTTGTACTGTATTCACTTAATTCCTATAAACATGCGGCCTAATTTTCGTGATTTTTGTTTTATGCTGTAAATGTGATCCTAGTGCTGCGTTGTAACTTCTTACCTATAAATGTATAATGTATATAATTGCAAACGGTAGTTGTTGGTCATAAAGTAACGTCTTAAGCTGTTTAAAGGAGGTCCTAATGAAAACACTTGAAGGACTCTGAGGAACACACGGGGAGACTGTGAGCAGAGTTTCTCTTCCATTCCAAGTTTTTGACACATCTTCAAATACTAAAAACGTGACCGTGCTCAATCCAGGATTCCTCTCATTTGATTTTGTCGAGTGCAGAAAGCAGCTTCTTCTACACACAGCACTCACACGTACAGTTGATCTACTTGTGGCAGTGAAGATGGACAATCCTCGACGGTTCCTGGTCAGCTTCTCGGTTGCGGTCCTCCTGGGCCTTCTCTCCAGTGTATTTGTGCTGGTTTGCGTTCTTTACTACAGCGGAGGTTTATCCTGAGATGGAACAGCCAGGTGGAACTGGCATCCAGTGTTGTCAATTATCGGATACATTTTCTTGCAAGGCATCGGTGAGTAGAGCTTGTTATTTTGACTTTTGACCTGTTTCTTTCCCGATACAAATCACAAAAGCCTCCAAATGATTTTGTATTGCACGAAAAAGAGATCCAACTGTGAATTCACATTCACAGGTTAAATAGAAGAAAAGGACAATATTTGCCTTTACCTAGTAAACCAGTAAACCAGACCTTCAGGGAGTATTATGTAATTATGAGGAATAACCTACAAAGTAAAAAGATCTGTTCTGTTGAACTGTTCTGTTGAAATAGATAAGACTCTTGCAATGTTATAGAGAACTGTGTTGTGTCTTACCTCTGAGTATAGAATCCCACAGCCTGGTTTAAGATCAGATCATTTTTTCTTTTATTCACTGCAGGTCAACTGTGTAATGTTTTTATTCTGAGACTGTTATGTTATCAGTGAAAAATGATTCTGATTTCAGTATATACAACATGTTTAGAGTTTTATCATCTTATCTTTGACAAGTGTTGCAAAGTGATTGATTTTTCCAACTTTAAAAAGGTAAAATTGAAATCTGAATTGAAATTGAAAGACACAAAGACATCCAACAAAATTTTACTAAAATAAAAACTAAATAAATAAATACTACGCTTTTAGACTTCTTGAATCAGATTCCCCTTCACATTTTCATAACCTTTTGCCCCTCTCTTGAATGGCTTCTGTTTGCACTGAGTAGTTACTGTATGCAGTGCAGCTGATGGTTTTGAACCCAAATCATCATCTTAGTTCGGCCCCTGTGCCTGGATCTCTCCTTTTTGATAATATAATGAGGGCTGAGTCCTGGGGCCCCTTTACCCTGGGGTCAGGACAGCAAATGTTTATCGGGCGTTGTCAGCTACTATGAGTTTATTGCCTAACCATACATCCAACTATACAGTGGTCCCTCGTCTATTATATATGGGCAGACGTTCTAAGACCACTTGCTAAAGGTGAACAATTGCGAAGTAGAGACGCGATAGATATTATATTATTTACATACGTATATAATAACCCTTTATAAACCCCTTAATAAGCCTTGTGGGGCGTGAAATATGGCAAAAAATAATAAAAAGAGGTTATTACTGTTTTTTTTCTTCTCCTTAGTTTGGAAAATTAATAAATTATTTTATCATGGGAATAATGAAAATATTGGAAATTTAAAAATGTTTATAACCGCAAAAACCTGCGACAGAACGGAAAATCCACATATTCCTTTACGTTAAAACCTAACGTTGAAAACTCCGGAATTATATGACGTCGTCACGAGCACTGCGAAACTACTTTTTGACCCACTCAGGCTGCTGTAGTTCGGTGGTAGTTCGATTGTTTTGGCTGTGTAATCACTGTCAGGTCAAAATCCTGCTTAACGGTTAGTTTTCTATTCACTAGTGAACCTCTTTACATAACTAATACGCTTGCACGAATTATTGTTATTGTAACATAACTGGTGGCTGAACTTTCTTTTGAATTAACTGTGTATCTGTAAGATACCGGTAGCCGCTAACGGTCAAGCTAATGCTAATATCACATCAATATGTCACATGATGATGAAAACAAAGATTTCTGTCAAATATAAAAACATTTTATATGTGAAATGCGACTATACGCAGAGGGTGAAATTGTCATAAATTACTAATTAAATACTGCAATGCCTAATTGTGACAGAACAGGGAAGGCTAACGGTAAGAGAGTTTAACGGGGCCAATCGGACGCGTTTCATAATTTATGTTATTGTAATTTACTATGAGAGGTAGCCTAATTAGGTGTAATTTAGACATTGTATTGATAGCGACGAGCATGTATCGTCATAGGCTAACAAACTAGTGTCGGGTCGATTGTCGGGTTTGTGCAATGCTAGGCTAAACAGCGGTTGGGTGGGGCTCTGTGTTAAAGCTCACATTTCTGACCTAAAAGCGGACATTGATTTTACATTACAGGAAAGAAACGTGTTGTTTTCACACACGTAAAATTAAAAACCATGCTCGGTTTTCTAGATTGTCGGTGGAGCTGTTTCTCGTCAGCTGACTCAGATATAGGTGATGCTGAAGCTGAGAGCATCGACTGTCAGGATCCTGGACTAGGTGCACTGTGTAAACACAGCCCCAAGCTTTTACATAATTTACGTTAAACGTATAGCTAAATATATAGTTTGCACTTTCCTGTTTTTCCGTTTTGTTATGCTGTGTGGTAAATTGGGGCTTCGATTACACTTGAGAGCACAACTACAAGACAATTGTTTTAATAAACAAAAAAAGTAATAAGTTAAAGTTATTTATTTGTCATAGTGACACAGCACACCCCTGCATTTTACTCATCACCAAAGTGAGCAGGGAGCAGCTTAAGCGCCCAGGGAGCAGTGTAGGGTCGGAGCCATGCTCAGAGCACCCTAGTAGTCACTTGGCAGCTGGTGGACTCGAACCTGAAACTGTGACTGAAACCATTGTTTACTTTCAATAGTTGATCCTCAAATAATGTTACTACCTTACAGTTGTGGCGTCATGTCTGACAAGAGTGAACTAAAAGCAGAGCTTGAGAGAAAGAAGCAGCGTCTGGCACAAATCAGGGAGGAGAAGAAAAGAAAGGAGGAAGAGCGCAAGAAGAAAGAGGTAAATAAAATGAAATGTTTAATGCTTATTACACATTTAAATAAAAACTGTTTTTTGCAACTTTTTTAACAATAATAGACTAGTGAGAGAAAGTGGACATGATATATTATTGATGTATATACTATTACTATACTATTACTATACATCATTATACTATTGATGTCATGATATATCATGACATTAATAGTATACCCAAAACCAGTTTTGACTCTTTAGATTAAGATATTTGTTTTTCAAAAAAAAAAAAACTATGAGCAACTATTTGATAAACTATTTGATAATTCAAATTTACATTTTTCCAAATAAGGTGAATTACTTGATGTAACAAAAATATTTAAAGCACAAATAAGCACTTACATATTTTTAGCCAAATCAGTGTTGAAGTATTGTAAACTATTGTTCAAAGCTTTTATTATATGTCTAGGCTGACCAGTTGAAAGATGTGGCAGTTCAACAGGAGGAGTCTGACCTTGAGAAAAAAAGACGTGATGCCGAGGCTTTACTGCAATCTATGGGAATAACTTCAGAGGCACCTGTTGGTATGTTGTTTGTCATAATGTTTTTGTTATGCATTAAGTCCACTCAAATCTGTTATATTAAAAAACAAATCATGATAATGTGTATTTTTTAAACTTTATTTCCATGACAGATTGCTTTCGTACTCTGCAAATATATAAAAATCCACCATCTTTTTTTTATTAATATGATTTGTTAGTATATTTTACTTCTTAATTATATTGCAAGAATTTGTTCCTCTTTCACAGTCGTGTATATATATTGTTCATATATTTGTGTGTGTGTGTATATGTGTACATATAATTATATATGAGTATATTACAGTATTTAAAATATTACCAATTTGTCATTGGCTCAATAAGTCATAAATCATATCATAAATTGGCTTTAGCTTGTGCTTAGATTCTTTTAAGCACTTTGATATCTTCGCCAGCAGGTGGCAGAAGTGTTCCATACAAAATCCCAGTGACGCTTTGCCTCAACAAAATGCAAATCACCATCCTAATAAATAAACCAGTTTTTTTCCGCTTCTATCGGTTTTACGTATTGATAAATAAAGTCATGGTAGTTGTTTTCCCAAACCTTGTGTCTCTGAGTTGATCTTGCAGCAGCTTGTTTGGTGACCTGAAAATGTCTTTGACGGTAATTGTTTTTTACAGTAGCACATATTATAACATGCTGAGGGATACTGTGTCTGTGAGGAAATTACTTTTCCCACATTAGACAATATTTGTGTAACATTTGAAACAAGTGCTACTGCAGCTTGAATTCATTTGTTTAACTGTTGTGAGTCTCTCAGCATCATTGCATGCCAACAGATGATTTTGGTTTGTTCTTTCTTGTAGTCCTTCCTCCTACGTCGCCTACTGCAAACACACCAAGTGAGGCAGGAAGCCAAGACTCTGATGGAGCTGTGGGACCCAGGTACAGGCACATATACACAAATAAATACCCACAAACACTTTATCTATTGTTCAAACTATCACATTTCTTCCCTTCCTGGATAGAGCCTACAAAATGGATCTTGTTCATAGAAATTAAGCTTTAGTTCTAATCCAATAAGGGTTAGGCTTTGGTACAGGTTGTGAACACATGTACAACATGGTTGTAAAAAAAAAAAACAAAAGAGCTAAGACTTTCTTTTTTTAACTAAATCTCACGCCCATTACGTTGACGGATGTTGAGTTAATGTCAACTGAGTGCGTGTTTATTTAATTTTCGTGCTGTTGAATTAGGACCTTTTTACGTGAACAATAAAATGGTAGGCCGCTGTGCTGTGATGCCGGAGGGACTTCTTAACCCCTAATTAGAGCTCCTTCCCTGGGCCGAAATTCAAGCTCCCCCAGTGTCCCATCAGGCCCAGGGAGCTGCTCCCTTTACGTGTTGACTCATTTCCCTCACCAGTACAGCCATTTCCTACTCACATAGAGGTCAGGTTTTCTCCCTGAGGGTTCTCTCTCTTTTTTTGTCTCTCTCTATCTGTCTTTCTGTTTCTCTCAGTGCCCCCGCCTCTCTCTTTATATATGTATATGTACAATTTAGATAAACATACAGATACATATACATGTTTATACATATATTGATATATATGTACATGTATATAAATATAGTTTATTTCAAATTACTGCGAACTTGAACAAGGTCTGTCTTCATGTCCCGACATTTTGAATCGTGAGTCAGTTTTGCAGCATTATGAGTTCTGACAATTCTGTTTGCTTTATTTTGAACCTCTTTTAGGGATTATAGTTTCCAAACAGTTAATATAAGCAGTGTATCTAAAAGTTTAACAGCACTGCAGCTAAAGTATAACTAATTTTTTGTGCTAAAGTTTAAAAAGTTACATAATTTGCCAATTCTTTTCTGAAATGTTGACTTCACTTGTGTTTAAATGAATATATATGATCAATATTTCAAAATAATTACATTTTAGCGCTCTTAGTGTCTTTCAACTAAAGTGCTATGGTGACAGGTGACCTGAAGGGTGCTCCACAAATCCTTCCCTGTACCTTGATTTGTGACTTTGACTTTGATCAGCATGTTGTGTGCCATAAAATCTTTCTAACTTTTTTCGTCCGCTCATCTGTGCCTGCTTGTGTCTCTCACTAATGCTGCCTTGTTGCTGTGACACTAACCAGGACTCTCCACTGGGACCCTGACCCGTCCACCCTTCAACTTCACTCTGATTCTGAACTGGGGTACTGGACACTATCTTCTCTTCTTTCCTGGTCATTTTTCCTTCTCTCAATCTATGGCATGAATATTTTTGTGTTAAATGTCCAGTAGATGCAGAATTTAAAGTGTAGGTTGCATGCAAGGGTGGTCAGAAAAAAAACACAGCTTACATAAGCCATTTGATCCATTAACTTTGGTTGCTCAAAGACAAAGGCTAGTAAGTATTAGTTTTTTTTCTGTCGGTATGTAATCACGTCCGATTTCGTGCAAAGTGAATATTTGTTTGATTTTAGGCGAGCGACTCCAAAACTGGGAATGGCCAAAGTCATACAGGTGGACTTCCCTCCACGTGAAACTGTGTCTTACACAAAAGAGACCCAGACGCCTGTCATGGCCCAGCAAAAAGAAGGTGATTCACACGTTATCTCCAACAGGTTTTCAATCTCCTGAACAAAACATGTTGAATGTGAATGTGCTGTGAATTAATGCCCTTTCTAATAGGTTTGTTTTGAACTGCATGAGGCCTGGTCTTTTTCCTCACAGTGTTATCGCTGTGTGTGTTGTAAATTTGACAAAATGAGATGAATGAAAAAGAAGAAGAGAACTGGCAGTCAGACCATAAATGAATACATACAGCTGTTCAGGTTTATTCTTCTTTTGTTCATACAATGTTAGTGTTGTAAGTTAAATGTAATTGACTTACACACACATAACCTATTCTTTTTTACCCCTAAACCTAAACAATAATTCACCTTTCACATCAAGGAATATAGTAATCTAATACTTCCTACACTGTTTATCGGCTCACACCTCTTTGTTGGCTTCTCCTAAGCTTTTTAATTGTGTCGTAATTATTTTTCTGTTGCTATGGTCAGTTTATTTAGATAATATTCACATTCTTGATTGTTCGGGGAGACTCAGAGCAGAGCTAGTGAAGTATGAAGAGCATCCCTCTGTTACTCATGGCCCTTTACTCCAGACTTTACTTAGCATGATAAAACTGTGTTAAACAGCGGCAGTTTCTGCAGGCTGTTCAACACCGGGGCCCCTTCCCCTCTTTGCCACTATGTAATCATTTCATCAACTCCCTCGCTTCCCTGTCTTCTCCCTTCACTGCACAGGCTCATAACAAAACAGTCAGTGACATTGTGCATTTTCACACCATCACTTCTGGCACTCGAGGAGACAGCAACCCCTTCCAGCCTGCTCCCCTTGGTGCATTTTTGATGCTGGGGTGGTGTCAGGCCTGTTCTGTGATTGAGTGATTTATCATGTTGTCAAAAGGAGGCAAAAGTGCAACACTCTCAAGGTCAGCAGGTGGTGGCGTTAGAGGGACCAGTGGCTGTGCCTGGTAACTGGTGTTGGTACTTACATTAGGTATAAAAGGGGCATCAAAAAAGAAATGACTGGTTGCATGTAGAGCTTAGCAAGCAAGCAAATCATAGAATTGTGCAGAAATCTCCAATGTTTATGAAATGTTTAAAGACCTAAGGCAGGATCTGCTGCTGAATTTGCATGACCTTCAGGCCCTGAGGTGCTTGCTGCGTTAGAAACTGCTTAGCTCTTGTAACGGAAGAAGCCACAGTGCAGGTGTCAGTGCAGGTTTGGATATTGTAGATATAAATCGTTCATGACAGTTGAAGAAGTAAAAGAAAATCCTTATCTGGCCCCCAAAAACTTTTTTTTGAGCCATCTTTCTGTTTTGGCTCTGCCTTTGGAAAAGACTGTGCTACTGTATTACCAGAAGCACTGCCAAGTACAGTACATTCAGCATTGGTAGGCACTTCTCAACAAGGGCTTGTAATTACAGAGTAAGATATCCCTGCAGGTTGAAGTGCATGCGAATGTGAGCATGTGGCCGACACGGTGCAAAACGCCTTGTTAGGAATAAGTAGCAGTTTTGTAAATCAGATTTTAATTGAATATGATTGTTTCAATCACTTAAAATTTAAAGGAAGGTTAAAACTTTCAATCACAAAAGCCATAAATAGCCGTCTTGTTTCAAGAGCCACTCCTAACGATGGTCAGCTCTTCTATAGATGATGATCATCACTGCTCGCTTTTGTCCCACTTTATAAAGCAGGTAATGATTTTTTTTTAGTTTTCCAGTAGGCCATCAGCGGTACTGCAGCTTGTAATTTCTGGGTAGTCTACCAAATAATAATAATGTAGTATCTGCAAGTTTTAAACAGTAGTAGAACTTAATCTCCACCTCAAC